TAGTATTAAAATGTCTGTGTGTTGTAACTGGTTCATGCATTCTTTTGAGAAAAGCTTTTTTTTCAGATGAACAAATTTTCATTTACTAAACACATCACAACAAATGTTAAATGTGGATTATCTTTTTCACTATATTTTTTTTAACTAAGGCAAAAACAGGCCCATGTGAGGGAGTTAATATGGGAACATTTTCAACCCTAAATAGCAACAACATCGTGGACCTCCTGTGCCCTCTTGTGGTTGAAATTATTTACATTTTCTGCATTCTCCCTCTTCAATTATTGCTCGCCACCTTTTTATCAAAAGGCCACATAATTTTGTTTTATTTCAGAATCCGGCAGTCTTTTAGAGCATCCCACAGACTGTCTAATGATGTTGACAGCTCACTTTTTCCATTCTCAAACGTTCTTTAACATAATGATGGACTTTTAGTAACCTGCAGAAAATACTTTTAAACCAGTACGTCTTTAATCATTTCAAAATGAATACATGACTTCCTTAGAATAGATAGAATTTTTTTTTTTTTTGCATGCTTTGCGTCATTATCCTGCGGGATAATTTATTTCAAATTACTTCAGATTTTATATATGCTGATTTTACACAAATGTAAGCCGGAAGGAATAGCTGTAGTTTTTCCAATACAAGTCACCAACTCCAAAATAGGTCAAATGTTACAACAACTCAATTATTTCCAGATAGACTTGAGGGTTTATGTACACCTCACACAGTGATCTCTACACAAGCTCTCCATCTGCAGCCACAGAGGTCAAGTTTGTTTCATCGGAAGGACTTAAATTGACACAATTATATTTTGGTATGTGACCCATGCTACACTTTAAAGATTTGTTTAAGCCATTACTGTCCCCATTTATTTATCTCTGTTTTTTACCATAAGCTTGTGGTATTTTCATTATTTGTTTCCTGGGTGCAGACAGTAATTGTTTTACCTTTATGGATGTTCCATGATTTTGCAGTGATTGTTATTTGGTTTATTTTGTGTCATTTTCCACTGCATAAATGAACTTCCTCAAAGAAAAGACAGTAAAAGCAGTTCAGTTGAGAAGTTATATTTGTTATTAATACACCTAAACAATCCACACTGTTCACTGTATAATAATGTATATATGTAGAGATGAAGATCAAGGCCAGGAATGCGTTTAAGTTCACAAGCTTCTTTGTTTAGTGAAGGTCTCCAGGCTGCTGTTAATCTATGTACTACAGTGCTGCTTTGCAACATCTCATAATATACACACACAACAATTACACTGCTGTGGCTTTCCTGGGGACAAAGGATTTGAATATAAAGACAATTAACGATTTTATGTTTATTTTATTTCCCTCATGCTGTCATTATCTATCCCGAACAAAGCAGCAAGTCTGAACAAATGGCCACTATTTGTGCTAATTTAAACTAAAGGAAAGAGGAAATACATTTGTTTCCAAATCATTATATAGTGAGCCATGCATTTTCTGGGTACGAATGGACACCATTCATTACAGTTAACAATGACATCCAATTCAGCCCAGCTAATGAACTTCAATACAATCATGTTCGGTATTAAGGAGTGATTTGTTGAGTCTAAGTGTATCATTTTGGAGGCTAATGCTGATGAATGTCTGGCTGTGGAGGGATGGGTACTTGCAGGGAGCGGAGATGCTCTTGTCAGACGCTTATCTACCACAAAGTGATACTACATCACCACCTAGTGGTGTTATTATAGAAACACACTTTAGTCCATGATTTCTACCATAGCCATAACAAAACATTATTGAACTGGGAAAACACATAAGGATTTAATGAAACTCACCAACACCCGAGTTGCCCCCAGTAATGAGGACAACCTTGTCAGAGAGGTCACGACCTTGCAGGATCTCTAGAGCAGCAGTGTTTCCATCATACCGTTTTGGTTTCACCATCACATCCTCTACTGTAAACGCCTGGCGTGGGTCAAAGTATGTGGTTCGCTTGTTAATGTGACTGAAAATGAAATAGGGAATAGGATGTTATAATAGAAACATAATTCCAGGATTGCGCCATCTAACAAATCCCATGGAGCCAAAATAAACACATTCGCTTCCTTTGTTAAGCAATCAAAGGTTCAATTATCTACTTACTCGACATAAATTATCTGTCCTTTTTCATCTGTTTCTTGCTCCCAACCATACGGTAAATCTGTGGGAAAAGACAGACATCATTTGTTTTAACAGCCAGAATTAATATCTTTGCCACATGGATGAAAGTTATGTTCACAAAAAAAAAAAAATTTATGTTGTACTTTCCCAAACAACTTCAAGACAATCAAGAAGCAAGGCATTTAACAGCTGTCCAATCCCCTGACTATAATCCTAAGGTTACATATAAGATAAGGTAATTATATGTATAATTCATACACTGAATTCTGCGGTGAAACTGATTTATAAGGAGTCTGTTTCTTGCTGTGGTTAGAAAAAAAAACATCTCTGCTCTGCATACGTGTTTAGTCCTGACACAGAAATACGTGTAAGAAACTAAAAAACAAGTGAATAAAGCAAACCTCCAGCACAACGCTTTTTCTTTCCTGTCTTGGGGTGTTCCCACTGTGTCTTCATCTCATCGTGGCTGTTGATACACAGAGACAAAAGAAGAGTTTATATCAAGTGGCCTTGGTTTTTACTCTACTCCATTTATCCGTTTATCTATATATTGAGGACAATGCATATTGCTCAACATCAATGTAATGTTAATGTGCAAGATTTTGACAAAAGGCTCATTTTCATCAGCAGTCTCTTGGTTGGTTGGTGTTATACATAAAAAACAAACAGGCAAGAAAAAAAAGACTGCAAAAACAATGAAACTCAACCAAATACTAAGGACACATGACACATATTCATAAAAGAAAACAAATAGGCACACAAGACAACCAATATAGACATCACATAGGCCTGTGACATGCAAACCAACCTGAAATATGTCTAACAAATCAATCATATCTATCTATCAGTGGTAGACATTGATGTAAAGAGTAAGATGAACACAGTTGTTTCTCCAATAACCAAAATTTCATATTTTCCAGGTAAGGTACTGGTTTGTGTATTCTTCCCATGTCACCACAAGCAAGCGGGTGCACTGTCCTATCACTGATGAGGGTTTTAGGATTATATTTTCAAAGAATATCACTGTCATACTGTTATGCATCTCATTTCACGATCACACAGCTACTGCACGCCACCGCAACAACTCGCGATAGCGGAGACACAGTCTTATCGAGACATTTCACATTAAATAGCTGCTGAGCACCAGTGCGCACAAAACCTACCGTAACATGAGCTCTGTGGACTTTTCATGCTGTCGGTTCAGATGTATGAGTTTATCTAAACTGGTGTAGCTAACAAGCTGTTAGCCACAGACCGATAACACCGATATGACCCTTTGGTTAAAACTAAACTCCATATACTGACACTGGTTAGCATACATATACTGAACGTTACTAGAGGGATTACACTTACTTTGCATAGTAGACCCATCCATCTTTCGTAGATCTTTCTTCCCACCCAGGCGGTAACTCGTCCTCACTGTCTGTATCGTCCATACCTGCGTATTTTAAAGCTGCCATTGCTCAAGTTTTTCGCGTAAACGTTGGAGCCACAAACACAAACCAGTGAGTAATATCTGCTCTGAAGAATGAATGCAACTGTCAGAGTAGCAACACAGCGTTCCCCGGCACTTCCGTAACAACACGGTGACGATTGTCGAATTGCCTTTTGGGTAATTGAGGCTCGAGAAACGTGCGGCGGGTGCCACCAGGAAATACATCCATGGTTTCACTCATATGTGTCACTTCAGCAGTGTCGTTTTTTTGTTTGTTTGTTTTTTTGTTTTTTTGTTTGGGGGGGGGGTTAAATATTTAAACATTCGTTATCGTTTAACACTATTCTCTTATTGGTGTCAGAAGAGGTGAAAAAAATAATAATAATAATAATTAAACCAATCTTCAAAGTAGATAAATGTGCCATATAGAAATCCACAGGACCAAAGACAGTCTGAAGTGGGCTCTAAGCCCTGAGGAAGGTGCACCAGAGGGCAGTGATTGGGTGTCTCTCCTAGGCCCAGGTATCAATAAGCTGCCACCACTCAAGGTCAATGCACACACAACACCCTCCTACATCGTTCAGGTCTGTAGGATTTCCCCTAAGTCTGCTGTAAAATCAAGTCTTGCCTGCTCACAATGCCAACTACTCGTCAACTACAATGTCAAGTATTCGTGGCTGTACCTGTCTTAGGTCGTCCCGAGGTTCAGCAGGGGGATCTTACCCGTCATAGGTTGAACATTCTTCCATACTCGACCCTTTTGCGTTTCAAACTATTACTGACTTTGTAAGATGAAAGGCTTTTGTAGAAGAGGTCAGAGCTAAATCAAACTACAAGGTGAAGTTTAGTGGTGATGTTGAAGTCATGTGACCGTGGTGTTGTTAGTTTACAGCCTGGTGTTAGCGTTTTACCTCTGGTGATTGTATTTAGGATTAAAAAACCTCTCTGAACCTTAAACAATATGTAAACAAAACCATGTGAGCAGTTTGGAAGGAAAACTCAAACATCTTCACCATGACACAGGGAAACATTTGTTCTTTAACAATGCACTTTATAATGTAATAATATAATGTAAAGTTTAAATCTGCAGTAGTAACTACCCTCAGTATCAAACCCACATATACTGATCAAAGCCATGTTCCCACAAGTGTTTTTTGTTAGTCATGTGATTAATATTAATTAATTTGCTTATTAATTGGCTTAATGTCAAATATATATTATAAAATAGACTTTACAGTGACTGTGTGTGTCGCCTATAGGAGGTGGTGCATGCTTCTATAGAAGTGTGTGAAACTGTGAGTGTGAGTTTCTTACTGTTGAGTGGTTGAGTGAGACGCACATGGCGCTGATGACTCGGGTTCTCTGGCTGTTGATCAACCACATGTACAGTCTGGAGATCCAGCTCATCTTCGGAGTCTCCTCCTCCTCCTCTTCTCTCTCTCCACTTTCTCTCTCCTCCTCCTCCGTCTTCTATCTCTCTTTCTCCTCCTTCTCTCTCTCATCCCTCTCCTCTCTCGTCTCCCAGGCGACAAAAGGCCGATCATATTTACCAGATGTTACCTCGGCCCTTGGTCTGATAGGACCTTCGTCATCCTCACAGTTTTATAGGTGCTCTCACCCCTTTGTTCAGTCTTACACTGAGAAGCCAAAGGGCCGGGATCCTGCCAGGTGGAATCAGGCGAGGTATCGGCATCATCTGCCAGATACCAGATCTCACAGCTTTTCGGCTGCACTTCCTTCTTTTAAAGGAGCACAAATCTCCAAGAGACCAGGGTCTCGTAAACGATAGTTGAACAGAACAGGACATTGTAATATTCTCACTAACCAACGACGAAAAAATGCAGACACAAACACACACAACACAAACATGCTCTGCAGGTTCTTCAACTAAACTTTCTTACTCAACCAAAGTGAACTGAGAAGCATTTCTTCCATCAATACTGTACATGGTAAACATGACTCTGTACATGGTAAACACTTAAAATACAATAATGTCATTTCAAGTTCACATCGAGTACTAAAAATAAGTTGGAAAATTATTATATCCACAACTGAGTATTGCTGTTACTGGTGCATCAGATGGTACTGAACTTGCACTGCTGCCAAATGTTGTTACAGTAATACTACTAATAATACTCATAATTGTAATTATGATAATAATAAAAGCACTATTGGTGTTAATAATCTCACAATTAGTTAATTAAGAGAAGATTTTTCAGTAACATGACATGATATTATTTGTCATCAGCAAACAACATGCAGAAAAAACAAAAAATTAAAATTAAAAAAAAGAATCATACTTAGTCAAATAAACATTAAATAATCTTTGTGTTTTATTTTATTTATGTAAGAGAAACTGCAAAGTGTCACAAGTGAAAGAACTAGAAACTGTTCGATCGATGTGAATTTTGCTCTTGTGCAAAAAAAAGGACTAAATTCAGTCCAGTTTGCACAAATGCAACAGAGGCCACAAGTGAAGCAAAGTTTACAAGTGGAAACTACGTTTTGCACATCATTTTACATCTTCTGATTACAGCTTGTTTGCAAACACAGCTTGTTGTTTGCAATGTAACTAATGAAAAAAGTCATTTACTCGACTGATAAACACAGGGAAAGTAAATGTTCTTATTCTTGAACACAATACAGTTCTATTAAACAGATAAATTCAAGTTAAAACAGAAACATTTGGGTCCCAGCTAAATAATGGTCTTACCTTCTCAATGGTTGATGTTGGAATGAGGCTAGGACTGTGTCCACCTGTATCTCTGCACTTGTTCCATTGTGATGTCACAACCGGCAGAACTGCGGCGGGTTCTAGTTCTGCTGTTCTGTTCTCCTGCAGCGTTCTACTGGTGACACACATTCCTCTGTACAAAGGTCACGTGTTCAAAACCATAGACTGTATATAAAAACAAGGCACCAAAAGAAGCAGATGAAAAGCTTCCCCTTTAGTCACTGTCTCTTTTTTATGTACTGAAACTATGATAGCTGTGTTCAAACCTTGTTTTCACAGGCATTCCTCATAGAAAACATTTTGATATGTGTTTTCTGGCCACAGCCACACATGGTGATAATATTACAGCCCAACACAGGTTATTTTCATTTGCACTCATCCACACCTACACAATTAATATCACACAGTTTGTTTGCTTTTCAATCTGTTTATTTGCTTTTAATCACATTGTTTTATATTCTTGGTGGAGTGAAAGGTGTGGCTCCCTTTCTTCTTCGTTTTTATGGCAAATTGCAACCATATGGAGCATTATCGCCACCTACTGCAGAATTATAGAATCCTTATATCCTTGTTATTAATCCAGTGTCTTTAAGGTAACTAAAAATATAATTCTAAATACTATTCCCAGGATTATTTGTAAAGACAGTGTAGATCCATGCTTTTTTATCCCTTCTTGTTCCAAATTAGTCCTCAATATGTTCCTCTGGTCGAAAGGTGTGGCTGAGATTTGGGGACTCTTAAATCCTGAGCCAGCTCATTGGGCCAAACCATGTGCCAAAGTGTCATGGGGGGGATTTCAGGTTAAGTTAGTTCTGCTTGGTATTTAGTTATAGTTAGTGTCCATCTTTTACCCCTTGTGTGTTATATGGTTTGGCCAAGCCACTATTTATTTTCCTTCATGTTCTTGTGTTCTTGCATCTTTTGGCTAAATAAAAACTCCACTCTTTCAACAATAACTCCTGTTTCCTCATTGCCCATAGCACAGATGTAAATAATGAAGTTAATTATGACTGAGTTCAAAGCTGCTTCAGTTTCAGGGTCCTGGTATTATGCATGCTGGCTCACTGTCACTGAGTCCTGGCTCACTGGGACAGTTGAATAGAACAGAGCCATTGTTAACATTATTAGTGACACTTTTCCTACTAGGATAAGCCAAATGGTCTGCCATGAAATAGGCCTATTAATTCATTATCTCATATCCTTATACAAGCAAATTAAGTATTTTTCATATTTTATATTTGTGGGTAAATTGTCTTTTTGTGTTTTTATCTTTTCATGTCTGTAAACTCAAATTGGACAGAACTGCATTTCTTTCATTTCTATTAATCACCCTTATAAACTATTAATGTACTTGCTATTGATATGTCTTAATTAAATGAACTGAGAGCCACATAATGGTTTACATATGTTTATTTGGAGTTTAGTGTGGTTGTAAAACAGGAAGCTGCAGTGAGGGCCACACAAAGATTAGCTGGTTTTCACACTTGACTATTTTCTTGAGCTCCACTTCTGCCACATAAGTTTGCTTGTGTAATGATTCAACTACGACTTTAAGTGAGCAGTTGGATTGACGGACAGTGAGAGCGATTTGGATATTGTGGCTTCCAAGGAAACATGAAATATGAAATATTTGCATGTATATCTGTATGCTGACTTGTTCAACCTAGTAACTGATTTAGTACAATCCACTGCAAATATACTTATTGCATACAAACACTGAGAGTTCCTCCAGTTTGCCTTTCAGTGAATAGCATATGAACACCACTTGGCTAATCTTCTCTTATGGTGTCATCGTGATGGCATAGTCACAAGACAGAAGATGTTTCAGACAGTGCAAATGATACAGAGCTTATGATAGTGAAATGTACCGTTTACAGCTTAGCAAAACAGCGAAAAACGAAACAACTAGGCCTACACCTTCAATGTCATTTGAGGATGTTTTGTGTCTTGGTCATTATTGGTCTTTATGTACGTAGCTGTTTTGTGTCTCTTTGTGATGGTTTTGGTTGTCTTTGTGGTCATTTTGCATCTATTTATGGTCATTTTGGGTCTCTTTGTAGTCATTTTGACTCTCTTTTTGGTCCTTTTACGGTCGCTTGACATCTCTTTTTGCTTGGATTTGCACCTGTCTTTGGTCATGTTGTGTCTCTTTTTGGTCATTTTGCATCTCTTTAGGGTCGTTTTGTGTCTAACTGAGCTCTATGACTTCCAAAAAAGAAATATTAATTGTCACTGTCACTTCAGACTATTGCTTTGAGACCCACAGACCTCTTGGACCCCTGGACCTGTAACCAGTTGTTTAATTCAACTTGGTGTCACAATCGGTCTATTTACCCAAGGTGTACATGATATAAATGACACATAAATTAGATCAGTTACCATATACCAATAATAACAATAAACCAAGCAGTATATAATGTAATTCTATTACTTTCCTCTTTGATTGTTGAAACCATGGATGTATTAATGGAACCGTATGCTAAAGCGCATGCTCGTAGGCAGCAGAAAGGGGAGGGGCCAGGAGGTGGGCCGACCAACTGTAGGCAAGTGTGTGTGTTTGTGTGTGTTCGTCTCAACGTAGCACGAAATGTGTGTCCTCTCAGCAAAAACATACACACTAACGTGAGACGTGCTAGTTAACGGTTTTTTTTAGGTATTTAAAGTTTTGTTTTGTCGCCTTAAGACTGTTTCGATGTTGTACTCTGTATATTAAACATTCCGCTTGTAAAACGCAATATTTATTGGCTAAGAGCAGCCGACTTCGTTTCTTCTAAAGAGTGTCCGCTTCCCCTCCCCTCGATGAAGCGTTGCGATGCCCTCTGATTTTATATCCCTTCTTAGCTCGGATCTCGACCTCAATTCCCCCAAATCGCTTTACTCTAAAGGTAAGATTTTACTAAAGAAAGGCTACTGTTGCGAAACTAACCCGTTCTGTCCTGGTTTGAACGGAAGTGATATGAATGTCTTGATAGCTCATGTTAAGCTGCTAGCTAGCTGTAGTTAGCTTCTTTTCTGCTGTTAGCCAGCCGAGCTAGCCTAGATAGTTAGCTGTATTTGCATTGGCGACTACCTGACTGGTTAGCTGTCCATGTCACATGCCTGGAAGAGATGGTACGCTAGGTTGCTCTTCTAATTGCAACAGTGATACGTGAGATCACATTGACTTCATTAGATTGTTTATAGTTTTGATAGGCTGGTGGCTAGCATTATGTTAAGTACATACGATTAGCTAGCCACAGCTACGTGAGGTCGTTCTCCAGCCACATTGTTCAGCAGTTTAACGTACTTTAAGTCTTGGTCAGATCCTGCAGAGGTGTGTGTGTGTATGTGTGTGTGTGTGTATGTGTGTGTGTATCGCATCGCGAGAGAAGGTCGAAAAGTTGTACATGCGTGTTGTTTTGTTTATTCTTCTTGTTTAGTTTTGCAAAGTGACAGTGCCCCTGTTGTTTTGGGTTATGGGTGGAATTGAGCCAGCGTTATCCTCCTCACATTCTCTGGTTTCACAGAAAGAATGCAGTTGTTGGCATTTCAAAGCCCAGGGCTCATTCTCCCTGACAGGATAAGAGGTGTTGCCACCGGGGCTGCTAGTGCCAAAATGTATCCTATCTGTAATAGGCTTTGGACACGTGTCAGCCAACTGTTATGTTATTATTAGGAGGATGTTGCTGCATCATGTAGGAACTAGACAGTTAACTCTTGTTGTGGTTAGCAGGGTTAGTGGGTTGTACTGGCTTTCAGCAGCCCTCAGTCTTTAAGTTAATTTGCCCTCTGTTAACAAGTGTATCAACTTAATGTGTAAAGAAACTGTCTCTTAATCTTCCACTCAACACTGTCAGCTATCGTATTGTTGCTTATTCATGAGAAAGCCTTGTATACTGTGTGTTGTTGTGCACTGCACTCAAAGTTGTAATGTAGCCTGAGAAGCATGAATTTATGCATTTTGATAGAATGCTGGTAGACAACAGAGCTTCCCCTACTGCCTATTTTACCCCCTGGTCTAAGCTGTAGTCTATATTCTGATTGCTCAAAGTTAACAAATAATTTTGCAATAATATCTAATGCAGCATTTACCCGCCTGCTGTCTGACCTGCTGGTCCCACATCTGTCTGGCTGTTATGTATAGGGTACTCATGAGCCAGCGGAAAGCATTGCTCTGTGACCCTGAATTACTCAGTTGAGCCTGCCATATGGTCGCACTGTATCACATGATGGCTGTTTATTTATATCTCAGTAATTGGGTATGTGTTGTGTTGGGGTCAAGGTAGCTGACTTGCCCATCAAAGATCTAGTCAGAGACCTCATGTATATCAGGCTGTAAGTAAGAGAGGGGACAGCTGGCCAAGTTGCATTTTGGCCTGCCCAAGTACATTGCACCATTTAGTTGGTCATGTTTTTTTTTTTTTGGTTGAAAATTAGGCAAATGTGAAACCTCAAAAGTGAACTACTGAACCCTGATGTTTTTAAAGTGGAAAATAACCTGCCAGTCGCTTTTAGTAGATGCATGAGACCCCATTTGCCCAGTCTTGCTCTAGGAAGCACCACCACGGACTTGCTTTGTCTCCCTACTCCAACACTAAAGCAAAAGGCATATATGTTTCATTGTAAATGACGAACAGCAAAATTATAAACACCTTTACAATCTGGTTATAAACTTATACAACTTTATGACTGGGAACCTCATGATTACTCTTTATTCATCTCAAATTATGATTATCATACTTTTCCCATCTGTATGTCCATATTCACAGTAGTTTAATTATTGACATCCATCATTAGAAAAAAATCTGGTTTGTTTTATTAACATAATGATTTATTAAAACAATGGAAATATGCCAACTCATAGGTTGAAGTTCATTTTACATGTGAGAGAAAATAAGCTTATCTACCAGCATTTTAAAATATTCAGTAAGAGAGAAATTGTGTGATGCTTCTTTGACACTTGCTGAAGGGTTATCTATTTGGCTTCATCAGTACTTTTCCCTCAAACTTCAAGTGGAAACATGTAATGTGATTATATTGCTGAAATATTTTATCGTTGCATTACACAGCTTGTGTATTATCTTATCGAGCTCCCATTTCAAATGTTTTCATTTAGATGGATAGAAAATCCAGAAAGACAGTTTAATCTTAGTGAGAGGGGGAAAAAATCCCACATCAACTTATCAGTGTGAGAAGCTTGAGCTGCAGCATCAGTGTGTGCGATTGGATTCCAATGTGTGAGACTGACACACAGGACATTCATTACAGCGCCGTTGAGATTTGGTTCAACCATTAAATGACAATAAGTGTTCATTTATATGGATGCTTTACATGATGAACAATGCAAGTCGTTTTCTAAGGGATCATTTCTTTGATAGAGAGTAGTTCCAACATTTTTCACATTGCAGTTTGTGTATTATCCAGAGAAAGTGGACAGTGCTTCTGGAAAGATGTGATTTGATGTAGTTCTTCAACTTCAAATCAGCATAAATCTAAGAGATGGAAAAGTCAAAAACTGGATAAATAAAACCAAAACTATCTGCATGGCTGGATACCTTTAGCAGCTCTAGCTCATTCTCATAGCTCCAGAACAAGCCATTTGTTGTCTGACATTAATTTTTTTTGTACATTATGGAGATTGGGAAGACTAGAAATCAACATGTTAAATATGAAATCTTAGTTTGGCTTTGCTGTGTTCTATTTTTATTTCATTGTTCCTGAACTGAGTGTGTTCATATCAGTGCAGGCATCCATTAGGCTCCATTTACTGTCAGTCACCTGAGACATATGAGAAGAAATGAAAGTCCACTCTGGAAATAATCATTTAAAAGCATGCTGCCTAATAACTTTCATGTACACATTCATGTCTGTTTGTGTATGTGTATTCACTGCTTCTTTCCAAACTCAAAACAATGGTTAAATACAGGCTAGGTTAACAATTAAAAGAACATTTTAGAAAGTTTAAATACATTTATTATTATAACCATTTACTATTGCTCTCACATCAAATACAGTATCCAGCCATTCCTTGCCATTACATTTCAAGGTAAACAGAAATGGTGCAAATAGCCAAAAATGGCATTCTTTGTGGTTTGAGTGCAGTGAGTGGCTCTTTTGTCAGTACTCTGGCTTGAGCATATCGTTATGTGTTCAAGAGTGTAATTAAAGCAGCCATTGTTGGGCACTGAGATACATTCTTGGTCTGCATATTTTTTCATTTGCAACAAAAACATAGCCCTCATGAATTGTCTATTCATCTGTCATCCCCCGTCTTAGTCCTAAGCCAGCTGCAATGAATAAAAATGGACTGGTGGCCTTGCCATTTGGCAAAACCTTTAAGGCATGTGTAATGTGAGCAGTGCATAACTATGAGATGAGGTAATTTAATTGTTCAAAGTGTAGGTTAAAGTCAGTCCACCCCTGGCTGGCTAGTGTGTTGCAATTTACTTTGTTGGGCATACTCTGGCAGGCAAATAAACTTGTACAGATGTCATCTGACTTCTATAAAAGCAAATTAAGACCAATACTAAAATCCATTTCACAACATTATCAGCATCCATTGTCCATTTGAGCACAGAGGAAATTTAAACTTCTTTTCCTTATCAACTGAGGATTGTCTGAGTCAAGATTAGCCTAATATTTTTTTTCTTGTGAAGTTACTCATTCTGAAGCTTCCCTCTGTTAAGACAACAGTAAGAGTAACAGTTTGATTAAAATGTTAACATGGTTCAATGTAAGGCAATTTCTCCAGTAAAACTAAAGATTTGTGTGATGTATTTGATGATTGTTTCTGGAAGGATGTGTAGTAGCCTTTAGGAAGCACCTTATTCTGTTCACACAGTAAGAGAAGACAAATGAAGGGACTTCAGTGATGGTGTTGATGAACAGAGCTGTGTATCAAAATTTAAGTTTTTAGTATTAACCATAATGTGACAGTAGGATGGAATATCAAAAACCATCAAGTACCAAATATGAGTATCGAACACTTAAGTCAGATTCTTCTTGTTTACTTGGTCTCTTGTCAGTTTTAGGTACAGCTGTTGGACAATAATAGGCACATGCATTGGGCCTTTTCCTTAAGGTGAATTTTTATGTAGTAAAATATGTTCATACTCGCAAAGTTTGCTATGTAAGTATTGTTTTGATATTGAAACCAAAACCCAATGTTGTATTTGTATCAGTATCAAAGCATTGAGTGTAACCAAGCCTTATAGAGATGCACAGATCGATCGGCTGGCGATAGGAAAAGCCAGGTTTTCAGTGTGATGAAAATGAATGGACTGTGACCGGCCGGATCAGTCTCAGATATCCAATTCTGTGCAGGTCAAGTTTACAATCATGCGCCACACAATAGTTTGCATAATGAATTGTAACCAGAAAGTACTCACATGATTTTTGTTTACCCTGGTTCACAGCAAGAGAGAGGAAGAGCCTTTAACTTCGTTATTTGATAGTCAATAGTCTATGTTTTATTATGAACATACAATTGAATTGTCCATTAAAGAAAAGTAACAAAATGTTTGTGTAGCTATCAATTATAGTTCTGTATATGATCCTAGAAAAAACTCTGAATTGGCTCAAATCGGAATCGGCAAGTCAGACTGAGGGGAATGTTTTACTTGGCACACCTTGAGCCCCTTAGTACCAATCAATCATGGTTTGATGCCACTGCCTATCTGAGTATTGTTGCTGACCATGTGGATCCCTTTATAGCCACCATTTACCATCTTCTCATGACTACGTCCAGCGTGATAATGCACAATGTCACAAAGCAAAAGTCTCAAACTGGTGTTATGAACATGACAGTGAGTGCAGTGTACTTAATTGGCCAGTCACCAGATCTGAATCCAGTAGAACACCTTTGGGATGTGGTAAAACGGGAGATTCACAGCATGAATATGCAGCTGACAAATCTGCAGAAATGATGCAATGCAGGCATGTCGACATGGACCAGAATCTCAAAGAAATGTTTCCAATATCTAATGGAATCCATGCCACGAAGAATTAAAGCTGTTTTGAGAGCAAAGGGAGGACCTAACCAGTATTAGTACAGTGTTCCTAATAAAGTGCTCAGTGAGTGTATGTACTGTACAAACACTGTTTTGCATTCTGCTCAGTCCCTGGGCAGTCTGGTCCATGAGTAAATTCAAAACACCGAATGAAATCCAGACTATCCATTTACATATCCAAACTGAGTGGAATGATTGAGCAGCAACATTGTGTGTCAGCTGGTTTGTGCTTGAGCTGGTTATGAGCCTTATGAGTTTAAGATGATTAGATTAAATATTTTATATGATAATACTAAAGGTATTAGTACACATGAAAACAAACATTCAGTGTGTGACAGGCAAATACAGTCATCTCTTATTGACTATTATGGCTGATAAGCTTCATGAGATCTTTTTTTTATATTGACACTATAAAATGCCCCTGATTGTTAATTTGGCAGATTCAAGTAAAACTATGACATAAATGACATTCGGAAAAAAAACCTGTATGCTTAAACAGCACTTTAGTTAAATTTTAGGTTGGTATTTTAAGCAGCCTTATGTTCTGACTTCTATGTAGAACCTCCCTCACCTCTAAGTTTGCCTATGAAGTTTATTTCTGCTGAATAGATGAATACTTGGCTACACTGTTCTGTCTATGCATGGCATCATAAATTAGTGCATTGTAATGCAGAACCCATGGAAAAACAATGATTGAAATAAACTAATTTATACTTTGCATGTTTGAACAAAACCATCCCTATAACAACTGTCAGTATTTTTTTTTTTAAAGTCACCTTTTACATTTTTTGACCATGGATCCATTTTCCAGAGGATATTTTTCATACTTTGATATGGTGCAAATTTGAGGTTGGTCTGTTCTGTTGTGAATTTTATAAAATGATCTAATTGAGAGCAAGTGGGAAATGTGTTTAAGCAGAAACTGCACTGTTGAAATGTATTGTAAAATTTAATTGAAAAAAATATATACATTTTTATAGTGTTGACTCGGCAATGCATGTCATCCTACCTGGCTTTGTGACCCTCCTTACCTGGGTCAGAGAATGCCCAGCCCAATTAACAGTCATTTCTGTTATCTTTACTATGTAATGTAATATAAATCAATTTAGCAGGAATATTTATGTAACAGCCTACCGTCGCAGATGTAGTGTGAGTCTGTGACCAGTGACGACATTTGTTCATATGTGAATGCTTGTCGTATATGAATGGGTTCCAGGCAGGTTGAACAAACATTCAGTAGACTCACATCATACACACACCTCCTGTGTGAAAGGGCTATTAGTCAAGACTGAGGTCATGTCGGGTTGCCAGTCAATCCGTTATACATCCATGCACAAAGACCCCCTCTCTTCACACCATGAACAAAGCACAACAGTCTCAGATGGAGGGTTATCCCTCTAGATGGACAAGATTTTCTGTAATTTTGACGGGACTATTCATTTAAGACAGATTAGCTTTGGATAAGCAATAGAGCATGAAGTGGGCCTCCATCTCAATGCTTTCAAGTTTTCCCTGTCTGATTTTTGTCAATTAGTGTACTGTGTAATTCTTTGTGTGAACTGTGAGGACTTTGTCTTGTCACTCCCTCAGCATCGTTGACGTCACAGAAGTGCGAGATCATGTGTCTTGTCAGTTTCATCGTTCTGCTGGTGCTAAGTCATAGCTGTGTATCAGATGACTACTACACTTGCTGGGTGCCGCCGATGCACAGCTGAAACACCCATGTCAGGGAGTTGACAGGTCCCTGTTTCTTAGCAACCAGACTACCTAATGATGTGTTCATCTGCCATCAAATGTGGTTTATGCCAGTGTAACTGCAGTGGTTGCTTATAGTCTACTTGGAATCACCATCAAATACCAAGTAATGTCTCTGCAGGTTTTATTACAGTAAACCCCATGGGAGGCTAATTTAGATCATCATAAGATACCCTGTGTTATGTTAGTGTTGAATGCAGGAGAAATTTTGATCATAAGACCAAGGTTTGCTTCCAGTCTCATTCCAGGATTGCCTCCACTTATTTCTGAAAAGGGAACATGGAAACAACAACTAATCTGAGTGAGATACTTTACTAGTTTTGTAATTGCTGTCAAGATTACACTAGTGTAAGTGCAATTAACTATTGACACAATTACATTTTGTGAAGAAAATGTATTGGCTGTACTGAATTTAGTTAAGTGCAGTCTGAAAATGTTGGAGCCAGTGTCTAGCAATCATTAGTGGTGCTGCATCTTAAGGCACTCCTGCATTCGCCTCAGTGTCCAGGCCAAGAGCATGGCTGGCATGGAACTCTTGATGCCGTATGTTTTACATAGGACGTTTTGTGCATAATACTGTATGTTTGGTGTTTAAACTTGTGAGAACTCCGATTTGGGTTAAGTGATAGCAAAAGCAGATGTTTTGTTCTCCTCTTAAAAAATTGGGCACAATTGTACAGGCTTAAGGCAAAATTGCTGAATTCAAAGTTGTCAGAACATTTCCACTACCGTTTCTAATTACTTGGTCCAGTAAATAAACAATCTGATTTATGTTTTTCAGAGCCTAATTTATCTTCTCCTGCTCATCCTTTATGGCAGAGTCAGTATATGACCTCCTCCCCAAAGAGCTCCAGCTCCAGCCGTCGTCCACCCAGACCGACCCACCCACCATGAGCCAGAAGAGTGGGGGAGAGGCGGGACCTCCACCCTCTGCAGCCTTGGCCTCAGGTGAGCTACCTGCTCAGCCAATGAAAACCATGATCTGGGATCAGTTTTCCCCTTGCCAAACTATTCCCCAAGTCAGTAGGGGTAAAGAAACTAATATGGCCTTGTATCAATTGTCTGGGGGCAACTTCACCCTTTCACCAGTTTCGGAGACAATTCATCTTTGTGACTGTATGAGATTATATTGGCTAATATATTATTTATATTTCAGCAAAGCTATTTTAATACTGCTGGCATAGTCATTAGGGTTTCACTTGGGTATATTAGGGGTTCCCCTTCCTGGCTCCACAGAGCAATAGTAGTACCAGTTGGGGGGGTGGGGGCAGAGCCAATTTTTACAGTTGTACTTGAGCTGTATTTAGATATATTTTGGGATTGTAATTTATTCTATTATTGTGTTGTATTAAAGAAACAACCAATTTGTGAATATCTGTTGTAATTGTTTTGATTAATCCCAAAGGCCTGTCTGAAAGCTTGTTTGACATTGTCAGGGTTGGGGGACCCTGTTAGGTATTTTAGATAATTATGTGATTAACATAGTGAAAGCATGGGAAGAGGCATTGCTCACCTTTACTCTATGCATTGAAGCTTTGATATTCCCTCAAAGTGCAACTGCAATAAGTGTCTGCAGCTCTTCACATGACCAGTTTACTTAATAAATCTGATTGACACCAAAAAAGATATACATTTGAAAATTGTTGTATAGTTTAAACCAGTTTCTAAAAGCAATTACTATGTAACTGTTCTATGCTACTGGCAGCAACTATAAATTAGTGGTTTCTTTGGAATAAAAGTCATACACAGAATGTTTTTTTTTCTCCTGGAAAGCTTTACTCTGAATAACAGCTACAAGAAATGTTGAGTTCGCATTAACAGCATGCTAACATAGCTTGTTCTTTCTCATTTCACTCATTTTTTCAGCAGCACTTTTCCCTGTGATGCTTGTGCTAAATGTTTTTTTTGTCACTTGGCTTTTTAGGCAAATGAAAAATATATTTGGGTGGTCCAGCTTCAAAAACATAGAAAAAAAACCCATGCAGCGTAACCCTGTACTGTCCCTTGGCTTTAGCAGTCATCTCAGACATCCCCCATGTTATGCCTTTACATTGTGTCTCAGAGTCTGTGTATTAGCACCATAGTTTGAAGGCGTCAGTATAGTTAGGTTTTATTCTGTAATGCCTTAACAAGTGCCTAGAGCAGAAACAGCCTACGCATTTTCACACTTAATCTTATACACACTCATTCAACAGAAGGTCATGTGAAAATTTCCTGAGGTTTCAAACTGTTTGAGCTTTGCAGCTAAATGCAGCTACTCCCACGTTTGAAAGCAGCTGATATTTTCATTAATTATGAAGGTTCTGTCTCTTTATGAAACAGTGAAGTTGCCCCTGGCAGACAATGGACTGTCTTTTCAATTTCATGTAGTAAAGCAAAGGAATATGGTCTGATCTTGGATCATGGTTCAGGGCAGTCAATGTCAGCTATAACTGGGAAGGATTCTAGTCTTCAGTTTCATTTAAAGAGCAAACTAACTGGTCCACAATCATGTTGGAGAGAGCGCTTTTGTTAACGCTACCTTTTCACTATCCTGTCTGACCCAGCTGGCCCTAAGCAGTGCTGATCAAAAGCATGACTACTGTAATGTCCTTAAGATCATCATTAACCAAATACACGTGCTTCAAAATGTCTATAAATGATCAACTTCAAAAGTTACTCCTTCGTTCAGTATATTAACTCATCCAATTTACTGATTGACAGAAGTTGAGTCTTGAATGATCAGCTCTCTTGTTGCTCATTGGCTGTCTCGTTTTTATTGCAGGAAGTTCCCTCTGAGGCAGGGAGTGTCTGCATATAAAATGGTCTGCAGTTCACTGCTCCATAGGTCAGAGGCTTGTTTATTCTGTCTCCATGGCTACGCTCAGTCCCAACCAAATCTTCCAATTGGCATGCGCAAACTACTGTTTACTACTGAATGCACATTGCACAAACTGTACTGTAACCCTGGCAACCCTGGCAACTTAATTTGGCGCCACATTACCAGCTTGCAAATTTGGCTGTACAAGAAAGTTTGACCAGATTTTGTTATGTTTTTTTCTGGCAATGTGTATGTAACAATTTGTAGCTTGCTTTTGTTTTTGTAAACAAAGCATGCCAGTTTTGTCACATTGATTTATATTGAGAAAGGTTTTGTAGGAATCAAAACATTGTGGGACCTATAGTACCCTTCTCAACTTTAACTTCAGAATATTTGATCAATGCTTGACAGCTCTCGCATGCACAGTGAGAGCATATAACCCACAACAGTCTATTGAAATTAGAGTTGGGAAGAGGGGAAATCAATACAAATTATGCACAAATTCAGCTGCTTGAATGGGACTGCTAGCCTGCAATGTGCTGAACATCTGTACTAACTTATTTATCTGTATATACTACTGCAGATGCCACCTCTTCCACCTCCAGCCCCTCTGCCTCTTCCTCCCTGGCCATTGGAGTCCCATCCACTGGCCCCGCTACCTCATCCTCAGACCATCTCAAGGTTCCTCAGCATCTCCATTCCACTGGAGGGGATGGAGTTGGAGCTTCAGAGATGCAAGGTATGGAGGGCGCTGTATCTGCCCCCAGCAGAGGCAACAGTGGAGCAAACACTGCAGCAGGAGACATAGGGTCAGGAGTGTTGTCAGGGCTAGGAGTCCAGCAGCCTCAGAACACCCCATCAAAACGGAGGCCTGTGTTGAGCATATCCCCGCCACCTGAGGACCTATTTGACGACAGCCAGATGTCTTGCCAAGAGGAGCCTACCATATCTGGTCCACCAGGTCCAGACTCTGAGCATAGCAGCAGCATGTGGGCTGATGACTCCGTCTCCAACTTCAGCTTGATCAGCTCCATCTCCTACAATGACAACACAGAGGTGCCGCGCAAATCTAGAAAACGCACGCCTCGCCAGCGGCCTGGCCCCAAGCCTGCTCCTCCGGAGGACAGCATGGATGTGTTCGATGCTGACAGCGCCAAAGCCCCTCACTTTGTCCTATCCCAGCTGGGCACAGACAAGAGCAGTGCCATGACCAGGTGCGGTGACCCTTGTCCAATGAACATTGTGTTAGCATTGTAACTCAGACTACCTCTGTCCCCCTGTAGGAATACAGTAAAAGTCATTTAATTTAGTTTTGTCTGGGGTAATTGAATTTCTGGAAGCCATATTAATGCCATCATGTGATTTGTTTCTTTTTTTGTTGCCCTGCAGCTCTCTTGAGTCAGGGACTGTTGTGAAGGGTGGGTCACTGTCTGCTCAGTTCCCCCAGAAGAGTGATGGGAAGGAGCTCAAGATCCTGGTGCAGCCAGAGACCCAGCACAGAGCTCGCTATCTGACCGAGGGCAGCAGAGGTTCTGTCAAAGACCGCACACAGCAGGGATTCCCCACTGTCAAGGTTTGACAAAGAAGGCCAACGGCTGCTTCTTGACACAGGAAAAATATTAACACCTAAGTTGGAAATGACTGAATAAGGCCAAAGATACACAGGACACGGAGTGTGGAGTACTGTGCACCACATGAGAATGCCAGTACAGACACATCAGAAGCATTCACTCTTAACCACTACCAACGAGAGTTTGTTTTCAGTTACTTCAAAAGCTTGATTTTACAATGGCTAACGTGCTGTATTCTGTATTCAACAACATGCCCGATTTTAGGAGGGCAAAAAATTGAAAACCAGATCATCCTATAGAAACTTATCCTGTTACTGAAAAATCTGGCCAGGGAAGTGAAGGAGTAGCTGCTGCTCTGTATTCATTAATAAGGCACTTAACCTTCCACTGCTCCACTGAGGCTGCTCCCAGTTGTCATTGTGTATAAAGTATGAAGCACTCAACAGAACGACCCTGAAATTCATCAGCGCATGTGTTGTATGACAACAACACTAAAGATGCTAGAGAGTCTAGCTTTGAACAAATTCATGTGCTTCTTTTGTGATATAATTCAAAGTTTCCTATTTGCATTGTATTACCCTTGTATACTGTTGTGAGTTTATACAGACTTTTTCTTACCACCCTGGCAAGCATCCACACATTACATTGCACTCTTCAGTATGCATTTCTTTTGTGTGCATTCTTGTTGCCTAACAAGGATTCTTTAATAGGGGAAACATTACTCTTCATGCATTTTGCGTTTAGCCCATGACACGTGTTGCTTTGCGCTTAAAACATCTTTATTGTTTAATAGTGATATGTTTTTCATTATTACTGATGGTCAAGTTATTTACACAATTTTCTATTCTGTCCCCAGTTGGAGGGTGTGACTGAGCCAGTGGTGCTGCAGGTCTTTGTAGCTAATGATGCAGGCCGAGTGAAGCCTCACGGTTTCTACCAGGCTTGCAGAGTGACAGGACGCAACACCACTGCCTGCAAGGAGGTGGACATAGAGGGCACCACTGTTATTGAGATCCCCCTGGAGCCTAGCAATGACATGACACTCGCGTAAGATGTTATTTTTTGTTCATAATTTGGGATTAGTTAATATTTACGCTGTGTTGATGTTTAAGAAGTGTGCTGTGTGCTTGCTCTGTAGTCCACATCTTGTGCTTGCTTCTACAGGGTGGACTGTGTAGGAATTTTGAAGCTGCGTAATGCAGACGTGGAGGCCCGTATTGGTGTAGCAGGATCCAAGAAGAAGAGTACCCGAGCCAGGCTGGCTTTCAGAGTCAACATCCCCCAACCTGATGGATCTGTCCTCACTTTACAGGTCCCTTCATCGCCCATCCTCTGCAGTGAGTAGTTCAGTCATAACATGAACTAAAAAATAGTCCAAAACTACAAAGGCAGCAGTTATCACCAGGCTTCATGAGGCTAAATGCTAGGGAATCCAAATGGTGTGTTTACAGTGTGTGTTGTTTGGCTTTTTTGTCACACACAGCATTTACTGTGATGATCCATAGAACTCAGTTTTTGGTTGGAACAGACCACAGATCATGGTCAGGTGCATGCCCTCTGGCAAACACTAACCCAGATGTCATGTGAGTTTTGATTGTTTGACTCTTCTGTCATTCTCCAGCCCAGCCAGCAGGAGTGCCAGAGATCCTGAAGAAGAGTCTTCAGAGCTGCTCAGTGAGAGGAGGAGAGGAAGTATTTATCATTGGAAAGAACTTCCTCAAAGGAACCAAAGTTATTTTTCAGGAGAACATTGCAGGTGCTGTAGCCAGCTTGATGTTGTCCGTGTTGTGCTTTGTATTTATGTGGATACGGGTTTCTGCATGTAGAGCTCCTGGTGGATGGAAGAATAAAAAAATATTTTTTGTTTTATTTGTAGACGATAATTCCTGGCAAGCCGAGGCAAAGATTGACATGGACCTTTTCCATCAGGTAAATGCAACAGAATTGTATGTATACTGTTGTGTTTGTTCTTGAATAATATAAGATGCTGTGTCAAACCTGCCTCTTTTCATTGACCATACTCCTCATGAGATTCTACTAAATATCACACTCTTGGATTTCCAATGTTTTCCAGAACCATTTGATAGTGACAGTCCCTCCGTTCCACAACCAGTCAATTACTTCTCCCGTTTCTGTGGGAATCTTTGTGATGACCAATGCTGGTAGATCACATGACGCCCAGCCCTTCACCTACACTCCAGATTCAGGTACAGTCACTAGCTCAAGCGCAGAGTTTGACTAGCTGATAATTTTCAGACTACATGGGGATAATCTCTTTGGATTAGAGGCCTCTTGTAGGTTATTTCTTAGAGGTGTGGATGGGGCTTTATGATTATAGCTAACATGGTAATATAATTTTTTTGATTTTGTTAGGAAAAATACTACTTGTATTGTCTGTATCAATAAACATCTTGACTTTTTTCAGTTACAGAAGATGCATTTAAATGAAAGGTTTCAGGATCAGAATTCATCCATGACTCATCACTGAAACTTGAATCACACTGTTATAGGTTAATAAATTGTGAAACTTAAGGTATATACTTCCAGTAGGTGCATGGTTTTCTCACAGACACCAAGCTATCCTGTGTTTCCACTTTTACTTTCAGCTGATAACTCAAATGTCCGGACAGTAAAAACAGAGGGACCCTCACTGGTCAAGACATGTATATTTGATGGTCAGATGAAATCTATGTCCTCTGAGCGGACCGACTGCTCTGGTCAGCCTTCCAAACGGCAAGAGGACACACCAATGGAAGTGTCTAGCAATCCACCACCCACAGATGTTTTTAAGGTAATATACATTTCATTCCAAAGAAAGAGGAATTGAAATATCTATTTCAGAATTTCAGTTGGTAACACTAATGTTTCCTTTCTCAGCCATCCCCTGACCCTCTCGTCTCAGTGCAGCAGACCCTGGAGCTCAGTGCTAGTCCTCATCCAGGAGGAGAGTCTTTTCAGAGCCCAATGCCCCTACAACCTGAGGATGTGGAGCTTCCCCAGGCGCCCCCTGTCTTTCCTAGCCTAGAGTCTCTCAGCACTATACAAAAGCAAGACATTGCCCCCACAACTTCCTTCCCAGTGTCAGGAGACACCACAATCCCCCCTGTGACACCAGAAGTCCCTCAACAATTCCTTAGAGACCCTCAGGATAGCCTGCCTCCTGAGAGTTCTAACAATAGTGGGGGGGTTGTAGTTGTGGCCATGCCCCAGATAGCAACTCCCGCTCAGCCCCAGCCACAACAGTCACAGGTTCCCTTGTTCCCCCAGGAAGGGGTGGCGCAGCTGGAGAGGGCAGTAAGGGAGCTACAGGCTGGAGGTAACACCACGCTCCAACAGGTGTTGGAGGCAGCTGTAGCCCAGCAGCAACTAAACTCTGTGCTTTACAGCCCCACACCCTCTGCAGACTCTCTCCAGCAGCACGTCCAGGAGAACATGAACAGCCTTAGATTGGGAACCACAGATAATTCACTTTCTACACAACAACAGTTACAGATACAACAGCAACAGCAAATGCAACAACAACAGCAGCAACAACAACAAATACAACAACAGTTTCAACAACATCAACAACTGCAGCAACAACAGCAAATCCTTGGTAACCTTCAGCATCAACAACAGCAGCAACATCTACAGCAACAACAGCAGCAGGTCCTTGGCAACATGCAGATCCAACAGCAACTAATACTACAGCCACAAGACCAACAACAGCTGCAGCAGCAGCAACTCATGGAGAATATCCAACAGCAGCAACAGTTACAACAAAATCAGCAACAGCAAGTCCTAAACAACATCCAACTTCAGGATCAGCAACAACAAAATCAAATACTTACAAACTTACAACAACATCAGCTACAACAGCAGCAACAACAACAGCAGCAAAATCAGGCATTGAGCAACCTACAACAGCAACAACAACTACAAGAGCAGCAGGTCTTGGAGAATTTGCAGCAGCACCTTCAAGCTGAGTTGCTGCAGCCCCAGATCCACTCCACCACACAAGTACAGCAGCCAGTGTCCCTCCTTCAACAGGCTGGAGAGCTGCTCACCATTCAGACCAGCTTCCCAACACAGCCTCCATCCCACACATCTCCCCCACAACAGCTCTTCCAATCACCCAGGCCCCTTGCTGAGACCCAGGGCTCTCAACAGCAGGTCCAAGCTGCCCTGCTCCAGAATACACTGACTGTTCTGACCAGTGGCAGTCTCAACTCAGAGCAGCAGTCCCCTGGGTCATCACTTTACCTGTCCCCAAACCCTCAGCCCCAACAACAGCAACAACAGCAACTGGCATTTATCTCCTCCATGGAGACATCTACCAGCCAACCCCAGCCCGTTGCAATGTTTCAAAACCAACCCCAAGCTCAGCTCTCCCAAATGCAGCAACAGAGCACCCCCATGGAGCAGCAGCAGTCTGCGCAGCAGAACCAACAACAGCCACCACAGCTTCCAATGGGCCAGCAGGGCTCCTTGTTCCAAAGTATCCCAAACCACTCACAGGCTAACCCCGCCTCCCAGAGCCAACTCTCCCAACCCCAGCAGACAGGTCTGCTCCTTTGCACGACAGATCTTAACCCTCAGGCTATTCCCCCAACTATTCTCTTCAGCACCCCGACTCAAGGCCCTTCCCCTATAGGGAGCATTAACGTTGGAATCCCTCAGCCAGACCCAGCAGAGCCCATGTCCTTCCAAGACCAGAGCTCCTCAGGCACCAACTCAGCATCCACTGAGAACCAACAGCAGAGCCTGTTCCAGGAGCAGCAGCCAATGCAAGTGGGCCCAAGCTCCAGCAGTGTCCCAAGCAGTCAACCTGTGGAGCTGTTCCTGCCACAGACATCTCTGTCTAGCCTGCAGAGTACTATTGGCTCACAGGAGCTAAACAATCAGGCTCCAGCCCCTGGCACAACCATCTTTGTGGTTCAAGGCGGTGTGGGTGTCGTAGCCAGCCCTGGCCAGCAGCCCCCAGAGCAGCTTTTCCAGACAACTGTGGGTGGGAATGTGGCTCCACAGGGACAAGCCAACCTGTTTGTGTTTGGCATCCAGAATGGTAAGATGATTTTGGGCTTCTTTACCTCCAAAGTTCAGTAAATCAGAATGTAGTAATTGTGAAATTCTTGTTTTTCTTAAGAGCAACTGTACAACTCCTTGAGTTGCCTCAATGCCACAATCATGTCGTTCACCTGCAGTTTGATTATAGTGATTATTTACATTTTCTGTTTCTCCCAGACTCGCCCCAGCTGCTAAATTCCTCCGGACCCGCTCTGCCAGCTCAGAGCCAGCCCCAGAACTCCAGTCACATGCAGCCTCTGTTGGACCAGCCCATGGCCCAAGCTGCCTCTCCAATGCCGGCGACCATGCACAGCAGCTTACAGAACACCCTCCAGGCACAGATGCAGTCCAGCTTAGAGAGCGCCATACAGACCACCCTACAGAATGCAATGCAGACAAACACACAAACAGCTCTGCAGTCCAGTTTACAGGCAACCATAGAAACAAGTCTGCCAACTCCAATGCAGACCAGTCTACAGACACAAATACAGAGCAGCTTACAGAATCAATTGCAGGCATCAATATCTGCATCGTCCAACATGGATAAAATTGAGGACCTACTGGAAAGCCTACAGAAGTAGTGATAAATATTTGGACAATGTGGGCACTAAGGAGAGTGAGTGATATGTAGCTGAGAGTTATACATCCTAACATCAACAGAGTGGTGGTGCATGTTTTTTTGTGCCAATGCCACAAAACTTAGAAAAATTTAAGAATTAAATTCCCCTTTTATCTAAAACCCAAATTATGAGCTCATGTAACTCATTGTTTTTATGAAATATCTATCATTAATCACAGCCTTCATACATCCATTGACCTTGAATTGAGGAATCCGCCTTTGTTATTACCCCTCTTGCAGGATCAGAGAGGCCTGTAATAACTGCTTTATCCATCAGTCTCAGAAATGCAGTGTTTTGTTGTCAGAGTGTTTTAATAATGTGAGTCTAAGAGATGATTATGATTTAAAAAAAAAAAAAAAAAAAAAAAAAAAAAAAACCTGTCAGGTTTGGTGGAAAAACTGGAAAGGGATAAAGAATGTCAGTGACAGGGAAACAGGGGGAATAGTAATGTGATGGAGATGAGGCTGTAAGAGCAGGCAGAGAAGATAAAACAGCCAGCCATGGAGTGTATATCAGATTGCACATAAGTGTCAGGTATGGGCTGAATCTCATTTTGTGAGTGTGTAAACTCACTTCACTCAGAGAGAAGCAGTCAGCGAGGAGTGTTTTTCTCTGTTCATCATATAGAGCGACAGTGAAAATGTGGGGAAAATACCTGGCTTAAAAACAGGGGTGAAATAATTTCACAGCCACTCAATTTAAACTTCTTTGTCATGGAGGACATAAGATCTTTCACAATTAATCAAACCCTTGTGTTTGCACATGTCAACAGTTTGACTAAATTATACTCTAAGAGTAAAGACTGTTAAAATACGTACATTTGTAGAATGTTTTTGCCTCCATCATATTTGCTGCCATGGCTGGAGTTTGCACCTGAGCAGACTCTATTAGAGGGAGGACAGTTAAATGTTGATATCAACTCTGCTCTACAAAAATGAACTCGCTCACCAAAACGGGCTGTCAATACATTCTGGTATTGCAGGGGATTCCCCTATGTGCAGAAAGCAGCGAGAATATTTAACACTCACAAATGAGATTCAACCTGGTGAATAATGTGACTTAGTCTTTCATTTAGGCACCTCCCAGTGTTTTCATATGTTTAGGCCTCATCACTGGGTTTGCAGAAGCTTTCTTGGTGAAATTTTAAGGAGCATTATAGTGTGTGTATCTTTTTGTTTTGATAATGTGGATAGAAAGAAACTTTCCACTAGTGAAAATGGAGTGTTGTGTGGTTTTATAAACATTTTATCTCAAGCACTTTATAACCTCTTTTGTGTAACCAGCTAATCCTTATATCCGTCCACAGCTCTCTACTGACCCAGCTGAATTTGTACTCGGATACGTCCAGTTAAAAAACAAGAAAAAAAAAAAAAAGAAAAAAACAGAAAGCAGTTGTCTTTGTAAAGGTAAATACATCTTAACCAAGCATTTTTACATTTTCTCATGTCAGAATATTTTTGAGGTCTAGGACAACTTTGTATAGAATGTCTGCTCACTGTTGAATCCCTCTTTGTATTCAGTCTCAGTGGTCCAGTCAAGTCTGTCAAAAAACAGCCATTCCCACAAAAGCATTGTCATTTTTCAGTGTTGGAGTGGTAAGTAGGCCTTTGTGTTTTACACACTGACAAAACACCTAAATACTGATTCATTTAGACTGTGCATTGAAATGAAGGATTTTCATTGTTATGCTATTTGTACTATTTACTGTTCAATTCTTTCACTTGAGACTGTTTTACCTTGTGTTGTGTTAGATATTTAAGTTTTTGTCTCAGTGTGTTGGTACCGTGCGCAGGCTGGCACCATGTGAAGTTGGCACCCAGTACCCGTCCCTTGTGTTGTGAACAGGGGCTCACTGGTAAATGAAATCTCTGTTACATAGAGGCCGCCATTTTGATTCTATCTATGGTGCTATGTGCAGGAGTGATGGGCACTTCTGATGTGATGTTAGTACATAACAGTTTCTACTTAAATCAATAGCACTGACATTAATTGTTAGCTTCGAAGCAGAGTTGAGTCTAGAGAGCTGGCTGTTGTTGTGGGGTCAGACTGGAGTGCACCCAGGCATACCAAAGCTCCTGTTGTGAATCCTTGTCATCTTGTCTCATACATGTCCTTTTCGAATGCCCTTCTCATGTTTACTAATTTTTACTCACTCATTTAAATTATGCAGCTCTTACATGGATAGCAATTCAGCATGTTGTTTTGTTTTAAGTACATTTATAAAAGACATGTAAAGGTACTTTGTTTCATGGATCATTTAATCTCATTAACATTTCCACCAGTTTTTACATTTCTCATTACATTACTCTATTTTTTGATGCAAAATAACACTGCTGTACTTTCCATATCTACAACAGTAGCCAATTTGGCATTATCAAAAGGCCAATTTTTGAGAATAATTCAAATGTTAGAGTAGTATTGTTCACATATGCATCTGTTTACATTTTCATAGTCATACTATTTTGTCCTGCAGCTGTTAGTGATCCATTTTAAAGTAACTTATCTTTTTTAGAATTTTGTATCCATGTATCAAAATGTAGAGTATTTTTGTAAAACTAAAGTTTTTGGTTTATGCTCATAGCACAGAATATCATTGCTGGTATGTTTTCCTGAAATGAAGCGGAGGTTTATTGTGAAGTGTATGACTGAAATTAGAAATGTAATTAAGTGGACATCAAGCAGATCTGTTAGAACATCATTCTACTGTTTTAACATTTACCCAATTTGTATAATGTAATACATGGGCTAGGTTTCTTGTGTGTTTTTTTTTTTCGAACTTTTTTTTTTTTTTAAATGTCATGCATCTCAAATGGCACTTTGATTCATCCGTTAAGTGTAGATCAGGTTAGAACACAGTAGTGATGTTTCCAAGCATTCCATTCCTCTTGGGTAGGGGAGTTTAAGAGCACATGATGTTGCGGAGGAAGTGCGGAACAGTAATGCCTCTTAAAGCCATACCAACACAGAAAGCCAACCTGTGACTTCAGTTTCATGAATGTAAATTTTACCTCATGGTGTGGACATAGAGCTTGCTCTACATCAAACATCGGACCAATTACAGTTTATGAGAACATATATTTTGAGGCAGAGGGGATGGGTGGGGTGGCACCAACTGTCATTTGTGTCACTGTACATTTGTCAGATTGTTTTGTCTTGGATTGTGGTGTAATTTCATGTTTTTCACGTCCAGTCGTTTCATTTTGAGCAATCCAGGATGCTCAGTCTGACTCTTCGAATAGCCACTTCCACCTGAAAAAAACCATGTGAAACATTGATTTAATAGTGGCGAAGATAGCACACAAATCTTTACACAATATCAGTTTTGTCCTTCAGTCATGTAAATGAATATCCATGTATATTTAAATGTGAAATATACTGCAGGGGTATCTTGAATTTCAATTGTGATGCTTTCAACAGAACTTTGTGTGCCTTGATAACTTAACCGTTACTCTGCTGTGTTCACTGGTGTCCCTTTTGTGTCACTGCTATTTGGCCCCTTGTCCTTTTTATTCCTGAGGACCGTCTAACATCAGGACACTTTTCTGTGATTTAAGTTTTATTTCTACAACACAAGCGCAACCATAGCCCATACCCATATATTTTAGTGTTAACATTTTCTATTTAGAAATCCATTGCAAGATATCAGAGTGAGTACTCTCAACATAATATTGTGCAGCTTCACCAGTGAATTGTCAACTTGTTTATTATTTTCTGTTGAAAATGTTTTTTTCATGCCTCATGAGATTTGTACATGTGAGGTAAAAGGGACGAGACAGTGGAGATTGTTTTATGGAGAGCTTTCTTGTGTTGATGTGCTTGTCAACATTACTATTGTTGCTGTGAAATGCTTGATCAAATGGAGCAACCATGATAACTGTTAATTGCCAATAGTGTGAGCTGTATCTTGTGTGTAATCAGTTTGCTCACTTTTCCTAGTTCGCTTTCTATTTCACATTCTCCAACAGTTCTGTTGTATCCGTTCTGTGTAGCTTGAGCTTTAGTATCTAGCCTTAAGATCCTGAAGTAGGGATAAAGGTCAACCCCAGTGTGTTATCATACATCTGAATTATTATTAACATGTACTTTGCCTTGGTCTGGACATTTGTATACTCTTCTGTTTATATCTGTAATCCTGCTGCTACATTAAATGAATTAATAAAAATCTAAACGTCTTGATTTGCTTCTTTTCTCCCCTCTAAAGTTTTAAATGCACTAGTTATACAAAGCTCTGAAACAAAGTAATCTAGTATTGCATGTAAGTCAAGTTTCCTGTTGTACACATATCCTCACAATTAATGCAAATTAATACACTTCTGTTAAATAAATCTGGCTTACAGTATTTTGTATTGGTACAAATGCATTACCAACATTGGGAAAGGACGTGTTCATAGTTTACTAATTCTTCTATGTAGAATCTGTTGGAAGAAGGATAATGGATCCTCAGAGTCAAAACCAACATCAAACTCGGGTTGTTTTCTGAGAGCAAGTGCAGCCACCAGTATGGCCAACATGGCAGTCAGGCCCCATATATGATACTGGCTTCCTGAATCAGGGTCCACAAAATGAAATGAGTGCAATGGCCCAACCATCCCAGCAGCACCATGGGCAGCACAATGTTCCTTCTTGCTGGTGAAGAAGTCCAGAGGGACTGTGAACACGGCACTGACCTCGGCTGGGTTCGGGCAGGGATAAAATGATTCCTCTATGAATCCAACCACCGGGGTCACCAACAGACCACTCTGTTAAAAGATTTGAGGGGGTAATGTGAGAAAAAAGATGAACCCAGAGCAGCTGATGATCTGACAGGGAAGAGTCATTTGTGTTGTCCTACCTTATTAATGATAGGGAACAGTCTACAGACCACCTGAACACCTTCAGGAGATAGACCTATCTCCTCCTCTGCCTCCCTCAGAGCTGTGTCCACATCATCTCTGTCACTGGGGTCTCTCTTCCCACCGGGAAAACACACTTCACCAGCACTGGTCTTCAACTTTACAGAGACAAAAGTCAGTCAAAGGTAGAGTTAAATTACAGATATCGCATTAGTCCTTCACCCAGCTGACATCCATGCAGGTTACCTCCTTTGAACGCAGGGTCATCAAGGTGTACAGCTCTCCATTCTTCACAAACAGCGGGATCAGCACCGAGGCTTTGGGCAGGACCGGTAGATAAGACAATTTGTTTCCAATGTCAAACTGTTTTAAAATGGCTATAGTCTCCTCCTTAATATCCATGTTAGCTGTTCGGTTTCAAAGCAGAAACAGAAAAGCGGGGGACAGCTACAAAACCATGCATTTAATGCAAAAGCAAATTAGAAGCCTACCTATAACCTACAAGTGAAAACTATTCGTGTACAGCTTGAATATGTGGGTTTTCAGGTCCGACTGAGTCTTAAATAGCTAGCTGATTTCCGTTTACAAGTAAACATGCCACAGCACTGGTGCAAGTTGCAGCAGTACTACGCATTGTACGTCACAAGGTGACGCGATAAACTAACGTTAGCACAAAGCTAACCCTAATGTTAATGACAGCAGTAGTTTACATGTGACAATATTCTTATGATTACCTGCATTATTCACCCGAAAAATGTTATTCTTAATTGCTATAACGGCTAGACGAACGTTAAATGAAATCAAACTGAAAACGAAAATATGTCGTCATAATTAGGCGACGAGCGTTAGCCTCAATTATCTGGGCACTGTGGCTTCGAGTTTTGTGGCATTTATACATTTGCTTCTCCAAAATAAAACGGACTGTGGGACTGCACAAAAAAATCTTATGTAAGGACAGGGACTTGAAAATGTTTACTCGAATATGACAAAAAAAAGTATCGACGTTATTTGTAAACATGTAACATGTAACATTACTCCCTCTGCTGGGGAAACTGATGAAGTGCCACAGAAAAAAAACAGGAATCAAGGTTTCAAAGGGATTTGTATTGCTGTAAACAGGTCCTCCATGAAAACATCAGATATGAAATAAAACATACAGTACATTCCAAGTCAGTCATTTTATGGCATAATGAGAGGACATATCATTCTAAGTAAAATAAAAACGTGTACAAACTGAAGAGTGCTAATATCTGACAACTGAACATAAAGCAGACGCCTGAGACCTGTGATTTAATGTGCCAGGGCAAATTAATAACATTCATTTTCCATCTCCAAGATAAAACTGCAATTTACAGGCAGAGTCTATACACGGAAGTGAATAAATAAATCAAAATTTAACATCCAAAATATTCTTAATATACATAATTAATCCCACTTATTCAATGGGGGGCAAAGGAAATGTTCTTCTTAAAGTTATATACAACCCACAAGTCATATTTTGTGGACTCTTAGGTAGAAAAATAAATAAGATTCAAAACACAGCAAAGCTAAGGAAGGTCATCACAGTGGTCCTAGTCTTCATTGATTCAGGTATCACCTCTGCAGCACTTTATCTGCTCACACTTTGTACTTCTCCTTGGCTTGGTCATTTAGTATGCAGATGTGCTGAAATAAAAGCAAACCAGAGGAGAGTGAGTTCATGTTTGATTCGTTTCAGTTGTCCAGGAATTAGATTTTTCTCACAGTGGAAAAACCCACTAGAGGTCATATCTTTGGTTTGGTTTCTGGAAATGTGACAAATTCTTTACTCAATGTGTTTATGTTAGACTTTTCAAAGAAAACATTTAATTAAAATCGAATTAATCAAGAAGAGTTTTGCATTTTTCCAGCAGAAAGGCCATTATCACAGCAGACATTGTGACTTGTCGTAGTAGAAAACACACAGGTGTTCTTAATAACATTAACAATGCCTCTGTTCTGTTAGCATGTCCCAGTAAGTCATGACAGTGTGATACTGATGCAGCATGAACAATACCAGGATCCTAAAACTGAACCAACTAAATGGAATTCAGCCACAATTACTTTTATTATTTACACCTGTGCTTTTCCTACTGTGACAGTTCAAACAGGCCCTTTTGCATTCCTGGGAGTGTAGAGAAGGATTTGAAGCAGCATTTAGATTATTATAAATGGAGATAAAGTTTATCAAAAGTATACTAAACAGCAAAATAAAATGTGAAAACAATAATAATACAAGCATTTAGATTTTTTTGGTGGACAGTCAAACATTTTTTGTACATGGGAATACACTAAGAGAATTTGTTTTTATGACCTCAGTTTGGATAAGTTTGGATATGGCCTTGGCTCATTCTTTTCAGAAACTAATTGTATGCCTACTTCTAAACAACTACAGTAATCCAGATCAAATTTCTGTCAAAAGTAAACTTCACAAAAGAAATGACAATGAGCATATTCTTTACTACACACCAATTCTAAGCAGGTTTTGAGTATACAGTGTATTTACACTGGGGAACTGAGAAGGTCAAGTATATTCAAAGTCAGTATGCATATTAGAAATACCGCCTCATCATTGTATGCCTCTGCCAATCAGCCAAGTTGCAGGAAATATGGTCACAGGCCAGAAGTGTTTTTACAGAACATTATGATATCACAGTGAAGTTGACCATTGACCATTTGGATATAAAATGTCATCACTTCATCATTTTATCCTATTAGACCTTTGTGTTAAATTGGATCATAATTAGTATATGAATTCATGAGTTATAGTCAAAAACGTGTTTTGTGAGGTCACAGTGACGTTGACCTTTGACCAACAAAATCTAATCAGTTCATCATTGAGTCCAGGTCAAGAATAAATCACTAATTATTTAACTTAAACATCTAATAATTTCTCAAAGCACAACTTCACTATGACATCCTATATTTCTGCAAGAGCATTTCCAGCCATTGTTAATTGCTGTAACTCAGGAAGGGAGTAATCAACTCACGCAAACTTACACTGAGATCTCGGAAGTACTCATTGTAGTCCAGAGCATAGCCTACCAAAAAGGCATCTGGTACCTCAAAGCCAATGTCTGAAATAAATATCAAATACCATCGATGTGAGTCGTGTAAAGAAAACACATAATTTCCACTTTAAGTGCAGTGAAAGTAAAACTCTTGGGCTAATCTGAAATAAGAAGAAGAGGCTCTGTAGTAAACTAATAGATGTTGCTCTTTTACTGTCTGTGTGAGGTTGTACTTAAACTGTCAGTGCTGTACAGTGGAAAGTCAAAACGCTTACAGTAACAGCTGTCCTTGAGGGACAATCTTAAAGAGATTATCCAACTCAAACCTAAAAGCATTACATAATCACTGACAGGGTGAACAGGGGGTTATCAGGCATGCATTAGTGCATAAGTGCCCAGCTTGGCTACATTTGGAGTATATTTTCTGAAATGAATGTTAATCCTGCATGGAAAACACAGCTTTATTAAATAAAACTAAAAAAAATAAAGTGATAGGCATGAAGCTCTACCATACATTACTACACTACACAGATAACATGTAGTAGTGTAACGTGAGTACAGAGGTACTCACAGTCTGGTCTGTACCCGGAACTCCTCGGGGTCCTCTTCACCAGGAGGCTGGAATGATACATGAGGAAAATAAAGCCTATTTGAAACAAATGCCTTTACATAAAAATACATTTTCAGTACAGGTTTTAATCCTGACAGACCTGCACAACACCTTGACCGAGCAGATACCCATTCAGGGTTCAAGATCAACCTCTTTGTGTGGATACTTTACATGCATGGATGCAACATTATACCAGAGTACAGGCTAAGTGGTGACCAGTGAATAGAGTTCCTCTGCTTTAAAGCTTAAATTACTGAAAAAAAATGAATTTAACAAAGTGTCAGATTATTCTGAATACTAGAATAAATGGAAATTAATGAAAAAGGAAAAAATTATGTAAAAAAAATTCAGAATAATATCCGTCCTCGCTGTATTTTTGGTCCTCATCAAAAATAGCTGTAAATGAAAGCAGTTAAAAGAAAAGGTCTGCAAATTAAAAAAGGCACTTTAAATTCTTCAAATGTACTTCTTCTATACTTTGAGTGACACAAATACAATTCTGTTTAGCTCTACTGTATTGGGGTGGAAGGATAAATGTCAGTAGTAGATATTATAAAACCGGAACAGGAACTATCTGCAATTCTTGATACCAAGTGTGTGTGTGTGTGTGTGTGTGTGTGTGTGTGTGTGTGTGTGTGTGTGTGAACTGGGTTAACAGACCGTTTAAGTCTGAATTTTATTTAAATACACAGGCAAGTTCGAAATTGTTATTCACGATGGAAGCCTGGCAAGAGATGTATGGGTGATAAATTACTACATGGCTGTCATCAAAGCCATAAAAATGATCCTGCCCAGTACACCAAACCACAATGCAAGAATCAGAGGAAACCCACATTGTCTCAACATATTTCCTGTTTCAACCAACTATCAGGAATACCTAAGAGAAATGGCCTCTATGTCCACAGAGCAGTTAATAGTATGGCAGATTAACTGTTAAGCTGCTCCCTCCCTCTGTCGCATTACAGTCCTAAAGAAGTGTGTCCATTAGCTAAGAGCACTCTCTCTGAAGGCATACCAGACAGTTATAGTGGAGGTCTATCATTCATTTCATAATTCCCAGACTGTAAACTGTATGTGATGATGCCTACCTTACAACTTTAACCATCTTGGGATTACATTCACTCAGCAGGGAAAGTAGCGTCTGCATTGTCCTTCCTGTCTCCACAATATCCTTTTGACAATGCAACACACAGGAAACATTGCTTAAAATATGACATTTGACAACAGACTTTTGTGTTTTATATCCAATTAGTTTAAAGTTAATAGGTTATGCCTAATGTAGCATATAATTTTAAAAGATGAACAAATTGAATAAATACTGGTTCAAACTGGTTCAACAAATACAGTGAGACTATATGAATTTGTCAAACACCTGTTTATATGGAGGTCGGTATGTATCCCTTTGAGTTATTTATACCATTATGGACAATGTTGCAAATCACGAGTGAGACCGATTTTTGGCAATATTGGAACTTTAAATGATTTCTGCATTAATATGTTGACATACTTGTGTACCGGTAATACAGAATAAAAACAAAATGTCTTACCTCGACAATCAAAACATTCTGCAGGGAAAAATGAAATAACAGTTAATGAAGTGTAAAAAAACAAAAAACAAATGTGCAGTTGAAGCATTTCTTCCTGACAAACATCTGAAGACTAACCTTGCCCGAGAGATTTGACAGCTCATCCCCTCCTATGACTTTGACACTGTTTGTTGACTTGTCATTCTAAGGGACAGAAAGAGGAGACAGCATTACCAGTGTGGTTGCATTTTCACTTTTGTCTTGCCTGTTCTGCTTTTAAGTCACAAGAAAAATCACCTCAAACCTTCACCTCAAATCTACATTGAATTTTCAAAATGTCTCTGCATTGCATCCAGTCTCAACACCACACACTGAACACTGCAGCGGCCCATTTCTGATAAACAGTAATTACTTTCATTTGTTCTTTGCCAAGTCCATATCACACACCTCATGTCAGCACAAGTGGTTCCCAGAAATGAAATGGGAAAAGGCAGCTTACACAGTAGCTCTTCACCCTAATGAAATCCACTGTCAGCGGGACTGATTTATCACTGTTCTGGTTCAGTGCTTTAATGTAGTCCAGGAGGTCTGCGAAGAACTTGTAGCCCCCTTTTAACACACACAGAGCTACGATGTGGTGTTCCCCCATGTCCCGGATTATGTCGCGGGCCAGACGCTCTGTCCTGGACCAGAGAGGGGAGAAACAAAGGAAAGAGATGGATCATAAATGAATGGGGAATGTTGTATAGTTCTTGCGAATAAGGAGGAGATCACTGACATGACATTGCACTTAAACATAATTGCTTACAATGCATTTTACTACACTGCACTGGACATTTAACCCCTCCCTTCCAAATTCACATTCAAATGTGCTTCAGTATGTAGGCTAGTGATTTGTCAAGCAAATACAGTATAGTTCTCTATTGTAATCCAACCATAAACCACGAATATGTGTGTATGACAGGGAAAGTGAAATAGAGAGAGCCACAGTGAGTGTGTCACGTGACTTCTAAGAATCGCCAGTGTTCGGCGTCGGTGGTGAGGCTGCTGTTAACCGATTTACCTGTCCATGATGAGTCCATGGGGGATGATCACCTTGTCTAAATCGTTCTCATAATGTCTGGGGACACAGAAAAGGTCCAGATCATGGCCTTTCTCGTCATCAGCGATCTGGAATAAGACCAAGGAGAAGCCATCTCTTCAGCTCTGCGCAAAACGGTTGGCACTGGCGTGCGCCAAAGACGCATTTAATCAAAGTGAAGCTATGCTCCCCTCCCTCCCCTGGCAACACAGAAGCCTCTCAACCACCTGTTTATCTCCGCTCACACATGACCGAGGAGGGCTGGAGGTAAATGGACATCAAACGCTAATGTAGCAGAGCACAACTGAAACCTAAATACTGGAAAGCTCGTGCCAACCGCTGTCTATCACAACAGGCCTGCAGGACGCGCATTACAACCACACCCCGACAAGTGAACAAGTTATCAGAATACCAAACAAATCCCCGGACAAGCAAACGCAGCGGTTAACAGCCTCACCTGCAGATACGAAGCCATGTTACCGGCGGCCGTGTGTTCCGTTCAGTTGCAGTGAGATGTCTGAGGAGTCATGCTCGGGTCCGGGAGGAGAGAGAAAGAGAGAGAGGGGGGAGGGGGGGGCACAGAAGTGGGTGGTTTGTTGTTGACTGGAGATTGCACGAGCCGCTCTCCTCACAGACTGCTGCTGACCGTGAGCGAGCCCGAGCAGCACATGCGATGCTCCGCCGCCGGAGGAGAGAGAGGGGGGGGGGGGGTTAAGTCCTTTACGTCAGAATCCAGTTTACCTTCCCAATAATCTGATTTGTCCGACACAACCGGAGCTTAAAATGCGCTATACTGGTTACTACGATTGCAACTGCATGTTGTGGTAACAGTGGCCGAGAAGTAGTGCGGGCAAGACGCTGCAGATGACGCAGTTTTAAAAATATAACGGATGACAGTCCGCCTCTGCCTCTCTAAAAGCACCACACCGCTCTGTGTGAGATCACAACTGTACTTATGGATTTTTTTTATGTGTATGTAGCCCTAATGTCCCAAGATCCCTCCTCACCATTGCATTAAACTGTTGAGCTACATCTCATCTTCACATTTTATTTAACTTATTAGATTTTTTTCCGTATGCTGTAATATGAAGAAGCCAATCCATTTGTTGTATTTTCTGCATCTTGATTACACATTTGTTGACAAAATACCACCTCAAAGTCCATTTTGTAACCCTACTGCAGCTGTCAGACATATGACACGATCTTTATCACCAGATGGATTTCATTCAAATTTACAAATTCAAATTTCCATTTTTTGGGAGAACATTAGGGTTTGTTTGACTTTTTAAGGACTTCTCATTCCATGTTGGCTAAAAACAAAATCATGCTTTGGAAATACTGTTAATGATGATGCCAATAAATAATAGTTAGATTTTTGTAAATGGTGTTGCCATATATTATGATATTCCAACTGGAACACAGTTTTTTGGTGTTTAGTACCTATCTAAAATGTGTAATTTTGTTAGTTACAGCTTTCTGAGATTTAACAGCATCTGCCCAGATAAGCTTCTCACCAACATAACTTGTCCTCATTTCCATGTCAGGCTATAAATTGACAATCACTGAGTTCATACTGCCCTATGGGGAATACACACACACGCACACAGTTTTTGTCTTAAGTTCAGTCTTCATAACTCCATGTTAAAAGTGACCACTGTACATATAACTACTTGCATGTCTATTGTACAACAATTTACCAACTGTTTTTAAATGATCATGATCATGATCTTTTCCCCTAGGGAATAAATAAAGTATCCAATTATCTATCTATCTATCTATCTATCTAAATTTAGAGAGAACAGGAAAAGTGAAAACCGTAACTGCAAAAAAAAAAAATTTAATATGATCCCAATTTAATGAGTGATACAGAAACAAAAAGAGTTCCATCTTACAATAAAGGAATACCAAGTGTTGTACAACACCAGAAACATGGGCAACTACGAAAACAGAATAAACGTTTTCATAGTTCAGAACACCAAAGAAGAAAACATCATCATCTCTGTACGATAATAACAGTCTTTATGAGTGCCATATGTGACCGTGAGGCCAAATCTCAAATGACACTGTTCCCCATATAGAGCCCTACTTTTAGCTTGAGACCCAAATACAGAGCTGTGACTGTGGGCAGAAAGTAGAGCACCATCCAGATGAAGGCAGCATGATTTGAGAGAAGACTTCAAAGGAAGAACTCATTTTTTCTTCTTCTCATCTTTCTTGCCAGCATCTGCTTTCTCCTTCTCCTTGTCTTTGTCCTTCTCATCTTTTTTCTCTTTGTCATCTTTCTTTTCTTTCTTGCCTTCCTCTTTCTCCTGTCCTTCCTTCTTTTCTGCGTCTCGGTTGGAAATCTTGTTGTTGATCAGGTTGTGCAGGGCCACCACAGAGCGTATGAGCGAGGCCAGGTAGACCACCAGCATCTGGTCATTGGTCTTAAGGTAGAAGGCTTTTGTGAACTCCTGCAAAGACAGAACACATAAAATTCAGCAACAAAGAAAATCAAACAACACACAATACATAATATGAAATGAACAATGGTCTGGTAGCTTAATAATAAATATTGTGAAAGGCAATATAATTGATGTGATGTGATTTCATATAGATGCACTGAAACTTTTTGAACAAGACAAAAAGAAATCACAGGCAATGGGCCAAGGACCAAACACAGAATTATATTTTGTTTCTCAAATATGAAAAGAGCAGATATTCGTCCCCAAAGTTTTATGTGTATCTACAATCTTGGTTTATGTGCTTCACAGAACTGCAACTGACTTATTTTGGTGGTTGAGCATGTCATCCATTGAGCAAGTGCTCTACATGACTATAAACTGTCATTTTAAACTTTGATTCATTATAAATTTTTATTTCACAACATCATTAAATTAAATCAGTTTAAATCCACATTTAACTGCCCTTAGTTGATATTTTTTTGTTATGAGCTACAATAGTACAGGATATACATGCAACATCTGAGCACAAACAAGCATTAACTACATTTGTTTCACTAAACCAGACTCAGGTTGCCCTCCAGTGGATGAAACGAGAAGCTGTGTTAGAGATGCCGGCTAAAAGAAAAAATTCACATTTTCAGCTTAAGTTTTTTGTTTTACTGTATATTCATTTATATTACTGTACATTCTTTTATACTTCCACATTTAAGCATTTTAGCTGGACTATTTTCCCTTACAATAATGCATCATTAACACTGTGTAAAAACAAAAGCTGTGAAATTCACAAAATTCACAACTTTAAGTAAATTAAACTATAAACAAAATCTTTGTGAAGTAGATGTCACTTAAAATTAAGTGACATCTGCTTCACTACAATTTAACACACACCCATTTCCCTACAATGATTACTTTAAAAACACACTAGATGTACTGCAAACACCAACAACTTACCAACAGATTAACATCTGGAAGCAGGTTAAAGACATCCTGCAGCTGGTAGATGATCTGGTGGTTGATGGGAAGTTTGCCTGCTGCCACTCTCTCAAGGTAAGAGCGGATGTCCAGCAGCTTCGAGTTTAGTCCCTTTAGGCCATGAACCTGGTTTGTGATGCGTTGAGACAGAGTGCCCACTGTGGTGTCTTTGATATCTCTTTAAATAGGATATAAAAGATAACAGGAGAATGGGCATGTTTACATATTTTGGTTCACTCAAGTAGACAGGAAGTTCTCATTTGGTGGCTATTACTGTCTGTTGGTGTTTGTGCTTGGGTGTTTTTAGCAAATTCGTACCAGCGTTGTATCATTTGTGCTCTGGATCTTAAATCAGTATTATTTACTGTGGTAACTAAAAGATTTATAATGTTATTAACAGTGTGGCTGTAGTGTGCTTAAATCGAAAGTTCTTTCAGTACCTGAGCAGGTGCTCCACTCCCACTTCCTCTGCTTCCTCAGCTCCAATCTCACTGGTGACGTGTTCAAATGTTTTAGATGTTGGAGTGCCATCCTAGAAATAGTGAATCGCCCATATAAACAAAAATTCCAACTACAATCCTAGGTTTGTTTTCAAACTAGATAACAGTTAGCTCTCAAAAGACAATTATTTGTTTGAAATAATCAGTACCGTGTTTGGATGAACAACTTCAAATTTTCAGTAAAAAGTTATTATTTCAGATGATTCAGGATGATAACATTTCAGGATCATCCAGACCTGCCCCGACTTAATGACAATACTTTCTCACAAAAAAGATAAATAAATAAATAAGTAAAAAATCTAATTGTAAATTACTGGTGCCTAGGAAAGCCTTCATGCATGGCCATGTAACTCATACAGTTACAATGTATAGATTCTGTCATTTCTAATTCAATGGGAAGCAGAAAATAAACTTTCCAAAGACATTTGGAAAAATCTGTTTCAATACAATCTGTGATTTACTTACATCATGTATTTCCTCCACGGAGATGTATGCTTCTGTGGGTAGGCCAAGATCTTTAGGCTTCACATCAATAATGACTAACACCTGGTGGGATAAAAGAGACATATGAGTGGGTTATTAAACATCAGAATGAATATGAGCAGAACAAAGTGTTGTCCAGATTCATGCACATTAAGCAGAAGGAAAAGGCAAAGTTGTTACATACCGAATTGGTACAGTACTGCTTGATGAGCTCATTGATGGCAATGTCATTCTTATGTAATTTGGGGCCTGTGTGGTACCATCCAACTATTCTTTCTCTTGCTGAAAACCAGAGAAGGCAGTTATTCACAAGTATAAAATCAGGGTAACAGTAATGTAATACACAAATGAATTACGTAAATGTAGCCTTACCATTGACTTTCTTGAACATGCCATACATGTTCTCCAAGTAGTCATGGTCCAGGAACCAAACTGAGTCATCCCTGTCATCCTCATCGAATGGCACTGGAAAGGAACATTGACAATGACTAAAAGAACTGACAAAATCTGTCTGTGGCAGACCTACAATATTTATTGACCTTTAGAATAATTTTGGTTCATATTGTGCTGTAGCACTTATGAGTCCTCAGTAAAACCCTGACTAATGCATATCTTAAAAGGGAAACTTCATTGATTTTACATATGATCAGCCAAATACTCAGCCAGTGTAAGTGTTGTATAATGTTTTCTGTGGCTGGGGTGGGAGCTTTCTAAAGTCAAAAAAACTAACCCTAATGATGTCAACTATTTAGGACTGGAACTACTCATTTGTAATAGAAAATCTGTATTACAAAGAAAGATGACAGAATGGAAGGATCCAGGTTTTTAAGAGTTGGTGTCATAGGAGGGAATAAAACTCAGTATATCTCGGGCCTCTTGTGCTAATTTTTTTAACTTTTTTTTTTTTTTTTTTTTTTTTATTTATTTTTATTGAATACGTTTCTCCCAAGCAAATACAGTCACGACGAGACTCACCTGCAAAACTATTTGAAACGTCAAGAACTTTTTTCTGCCATGATCCCAGTAGGACTCCAACCACTCGTTTCTGATTGCCAACTTTTCCTATCCTGTAGATTGAACAGTCAAATTAACAGAACAAATTAATTTATTTGCTTACCATGACTCATAAACATAGACTGAGTAGTTAGCTAGGTTGCTACTGTGAGCTAACCTACTGCCCAAATTAACAATTCATCTATTTTTAATGAAATGAACGATAAGACCATGTCAGGGGAAAATACTAATATATATTGTATGTTATTTACTCATTTAACAATGTAAAATATATTGTATACTAACACTGGTGAGGAGCTTAACTGTTTCAGCAAGCTAACTAGCCTGGTCATATCTACATTCACTCTCAATGGGGCTCTGACTCAGCAGGGCTAACATTAGCTTAGCTTAGCATCGGCGTTACGTTTCTGGAAATTTTAACTGCCAGCACTGGTAAAGGCTCATCACGAATGTTGAATTTACTGACCTGTTAAAGTGATCAACCACGCTGAGCAACACCAGGGGATGAACGACCACATTTTCCACCGCTAACTCCGGCATTTTCGCAGTGAAGATAAACAGCGCACAACCTACCTCCACACAATGACGGCTACGCTACCACGTCCGCTTGCGTCTGACGTTAATTCCGTTTCTCTTGGCAACAGAGAGACGCGCAGTGGAGACAGAGAAGTTGGAGTTGTCGCAAAATGGTAGGAACTGAGCACGTAAGTTCATACGTTTTCATAAATGTATATTTCATCATAGCCTTAATGTTTATATTAAAGTCAGATAACCGAAAACATTTGTAACAGGATAAATTATGTTACATGTAACGTACCTTACTGGTACCGACCTTGATAACGATTGCCTTGACGGAAACCAAATCGACCATCCTTAAAGTTGATGTTTATTACTATTTTTTTCTTTATTATTATTAACCCAGACTTTGCCAGTCATTCCATAACTTGGTGTTTTATTAAATGTTTTTAATTTTCTTTGTCCTGCAGGCTGAAGTTGAGGAAACACTGAAGAGGATCGAAGCCCATAAAGGTGTAATTGGAACAATAGTTGTCAATGCTGAAGGTAAGACAAACAGCATTAATATCAAGCACAGCAGTTTCCTCTGATAAAACATGCTCACTATACAGTCTCACTGTTAAGGTTGCTGTTTTATCTTTTCAGGTATTCCCATCAGAACAACTTTAGATAACTCCACAACAGTTCAGTATGCAGGACATCTTCGCCACCTCACGATGAAGGCCAGGAGTACAGTGAGGGATATGGACCCTCAGAATGATCTCACCTTCCTCCGCATCCGCTCCAAGAAACATGAGATCCTGGTTGCACCAGGTGAGTGCGTCGCAATTACATTGATATTGTTGGGTTAATGATGACCATTTTATCAAAGATTTTATATTATTTCAGACATTAGCTGTAACTTGTAAGAGGGGAGCTGAGGTTCTACTGTTTTCACTGCATTTTTTTTATTCCTCCATCTTCTCTTCTTTCATGTCTCCGCAGAGAATGACTTTCTGCTGATAGTCATCCAGAACCCATGTGAATAGCTGCCAGGCATTTCCATTTTCAGCCCTTGGTTTGTCACATGGTGGTGCTTTATCCATGCAAAACATCTTTTTCCACTGTTATGTTGCTCCATGTACTGCATAATCCCTCTTGTCCTTGTTGAAACTGACGTATGTTGAACAAATCAATGGTGTTAAGCAGCTGCGCACTGTATTGTAGTTAATAGATCAGCCATGTTCATTATATTAAACCTGAGTAAATCAGAGGAGAAACATAATAAATACATATGCTTCCACACTGGTGTACCGTTTCATAAAACAAAGCTATTAAGTATCATATAAAATGTATAAAAGATGCTGAGTTAGCTTTGATTAGGGCTTGATTTTAGATCAAGAAAGCAAGAAGAGAAAACTTTAAAGGAGGGGTCCTTATTATGCCACAGATGGTTAAGAGCTTCAGCAACAAAGACTTCTCAACTGACTAAAACTGAGCACTCTTTGTGACTGAAACAGGAAAGGTGACCAAAGTGGAATCTGCATTTAACTCAATGGAATCAGCAATAGTCTGTATGTTTTACCCAATGAGGTGGTCTGTTGGTTGTGTGCTATAGGATAAATTTCCTAGCTGTGGTTTGAGTCTGCTTGTCCCCATAGAGAGAAGGGTCACTTTCAAACAGGCATTCAAAATGTTTTTCAGAAAAATTAACTTAAAGTAAAAGTACTCATTACTCAGAATGGGCTCTGTCAGTGTTATATGTTCATATAATTACATATATCATTGATTTCCTACAAGTGATGCTTTCAAGTATATACAAGCAGCATGTTAATGTTGTAGCAGGTTGAGATGGAGCTCATGCTATAAGTTATGTTTGGTAATTTAATCAATAGCAACACATTTTATAAAAGGTATATGATTTGTATGTAAAATCTTAAAGGCCACACCCATGGTCCACCCACACAGGTGTTTTCAGTGCTTTGCTCTACTGACATCTCCCTCACCCTACTGTTGATTTTATTGTGGCTGGAAAACTTACCGAGTATCATTGTTATTGCACAAAGTTCGGTGAAATTATGTAATGTCCAGCATAGTTTCATCCAATTTACACCTGACAAGAGGTCTAATCAGCCAGGGTAACTGAAAACACCTGGGTGGGTGGGCAGAGCCTTTCATTTGCAAAGTAACTAGTAAGCATAGCTGTCAAATTAATGTAGTGGAGTACAAGTATTAAGTCATATAAAAAGAAAAAAACTTGGGGACAGTACAAGTACTTAAAAATTGTACTTAGACACAGTACTTGTATAAAGGTAGCCTATATCCACCTCTACTTTTATCCTGTGTTGAAACATTTTTATCCTGGTGGGAGTGGTCTCTTCCAAGATGACTATACCCCCATCTACAGGACACAAGAGATCACTGAATGGTTTGATGAGTATTAAAATGAATCATTTACTATACTATATACTCACAGTCACATTATCTCAAACCAATTAAACACACATTGGAGATTTTGGAGCAACATCTCACCAAATGAGGGAATATCTTTTGGAAGATTGGTGTCCCATCCCTCCAGTAGAGTTCAGAGACAAAAAATCTAAAATCAGAAAAGGATGGTCAGTTATCCATCTGTATATGGCACTATAAATTAATCATCTATGCAATAGAATGGTATATACGCCATACTTACCTGCTCATGGGACTTCATTTCTTCATTTGGTTGTCTTTCTTAATCTTGTTTTACAAACCAAAGAAGACAAACATGGCAGTGTTTTTCAGTAAACATGGAACTGACACACTAAGTAATTAGAGTGACAGCGACCTTTGAATTTCACCAACCATGCAGTCGGAGCAGCCATCTTACATCTGGTTACACTCTTCCATTACATCATAGGGCAAGTTAACTGTCCCCTTCATTAACTGACAATGGAGCACATGCTCTGTAGAAAATTACAATGATTAAATTCAGCTACTTTAATTACTGGGGAAATATTGTGTAGCTAGGAAATATTTTATGAATAGAGGGTCTGACATGATAAACTAATTTTCATTTACTACCTCTGTGTATTCAAAACCGGTTGACAACATACATCAGCCCAAGCTGGAGAGGGGTTCAGGATTAGAGAAAATAGTTAGTGATTACTGAAGAGCAAATGCATTAGAAGACTCAGTTGTAAATATTTGTGAGTTTGGCTGCACAAACTGTGCAACTGTTTAATATTCATCAGAAGTGAAAACTTGATCTCTCCCCAGATACGTGACAATCACAGATAATAGACATTTTACAAATATTTTAATGTAAATTTCCATCAGAATGTACAGCAATATATGTTAATAAATAATTCATTGCAATTATACAGCCCAAATAATACATTACATAACAACTGATTGAAACAAATATGCAGGATTTCACAGCAAGTTTGCAGAGGAGACTGAGCAGGTGATGGAGGGAGGTCAGGTGATTTGGGGAAGTTGTTATTGTAGTTTGTGCTTGTAGGAAAGGGCTCCTGGGATTTTCAATATTCAGAGGCAAACAGGCAGAAATTATGAATTTTCTGACATTGTTTTATCTGGTGTGAACAAAAATAAATCTCATCCAAAGACCACAGAAGGTGTAGTTTGTTATCCACAGAAGGATAGTGTCATTCTGAAGTCTATGTTACCCATAAACAATTACAGAATTTCAAGTACTCTAAGAGTATCAAGTGAAAAGACACTGTTTATATGTTCTGACATAGTCCTGAAGTGAAGGTGAATAATGACTTGGCTTTTCTATCTCCTTAATTGAAACTTAGTTTTTCTAAATAATGCCATATGAGATCACCTTCAGGTTTGTATGGTTGGACAGAATATCTAAAAGTACTGTAGTCTCACTCAATTATCTAACTACACGTATAGTGTCAAATCAATGAAATCAAATCCAAACTTTTATTCTCTTCAAGTTTTGTTGACATTTGTAGGCATGTGAAGGGCTCAGGAGACAGACTCTGGGCCATCTGAACGATGGTAATGACAACCATAACAATTACTGACGGTTGCCATGTTGTCTTTCATCCCTATTTCCTCTTTGTCCACCCCTAAACATTTTGACATCACATGACAATTTCCAAATACAACTGTCATAACACCCTTTATTTTCTAAACATTTTGATTCTGACCAGCAGCAGTTCAATCAAAACATATGGCTTCCCACAAGAAATGGTTAAAACAATAAAACATACAAAATTCTTTGTCTATCACAAGTGACATTACCAATGAAAAATGTATTAAACCTCAAAAAAAAAAACTTCACTGATACCATTTGCCATTATATAGATATTATCTTTTAGATGTTTCCTATCCTCTGTAGAACCATTACCAGCACAAAAACTGCTTCATCTGTCAGATACAGTACTCAGTAGACACTACAACATTATACCACACGGAGGACGGTCAAGTATTTCCTCAAATTCCATTTCAAGTGCATCCTGTCAAGTTTAAGGCCTGAGGTGTGCTTTGATTCCTTGACTCAATTTTCATTCTCTGAGTTTTAACCAAGTGACCTCTGCACACTTAGTCTCTTCTCACTGCTGTCCAGAGAGGCTACAGATTTGTGCCAAGTGATACATCTCATTAGTGTGGATCAATACAGTTTACACAGAAATTGATATGATATGAGTTAAATGGTGGAAAGTCCTTAAAGCCAACTCAGGGACTAGTGGGAGTGGTTAGCGTTACAGAGACGCTGTTTCGCCTACACAGTATTGTTACAGTCCATTGGCAGAGCAACAAAGAAAGTGGGAATGCCCAGACTATATGGTCATGGTGGATTGATGTTACTGTGGCAAACATGGCAGGTAATCAATTAAATCTGGAACCAGTCAGGTAACATAACTGATTGGCCAGAAAAGGTAACAAGACAAGGATTGGCTCCTTCAAGTGCTTCAAGTGCAGAGAGTGGCCTGGCTCCAGTCCATCTTGTTCTTGTTACTGCTCCTTTCCTGTCAGAGGCGAATCCATCAGAGTCGTTGTCAGAGGTCACCTCGGTGTGTGCCCGTTGACTTGCCCCCTGCCCCAGTGAATGTTAGGTAGTGTCAAACACCTCCTGAAGTGCTCCAGCTGGGCCTGCAGTCTCTCTCTCTCCTCTCTCACTTTCTGCCTCTGACTCACCAGCTCCTGTCAAATGAAGGGTGGACACAACTCTTAATTACGGACCCAAGATTTTCTGCACTAAGCTGCATCACTTACAGAAAGAAGTCTAAACAGAAAATGGGAACCCTGACATGGATGAACGAAAGCACACAAATCTGCAAGAAACGAAGAGGCAGGCGTGCGGATATGTTCTCAGATACTTACCCCCATAGTGAGAGAGAGCTGTTCAGCAGTTCTGGTCAGATTATAGTTCTGTGCTTCGAGTCTTTTACACTGACTGTGAAGAACCTGCCTCTCTATACTCCATTCTGTGAAGGAAGAAATACACAGAAACCATAAACAAGGGGAAATTATATGCATTTATCTCTTTCACACAGAGTGTAAAACAGTCCCCCTGAGCCTCACACACAGTAATGTAAGGGATGTAAAATGACATTGCTTCACAAGGTGCAACTCCATTTCTTAAAAAGCAACAGAAAGGTAATTCAGAAACAGTGACATTTTTTTCATTTTATAGGGAGAATGCAATTTAACATAGTTCCAATACAAAGCATGACATAGTTTGTCTTCTAGGGAGCGCTTGCAGATATATTTTTCAATTGTAAATTAATTATTTCATTTAAAAAGGGTTCCTTACTAGAAATGTTTATGTTATGCATTTATGTTAAAAAGTGAATATTGGATAACATATTGTTATGTTTTTTTTAACTGTCAAATATAAATATTAGTATCAACCTCCAAAATCCAATATTAGTCAAGCCTTATTTTCAATCATTTTATGATAACACTTTTTCCTCACATCAAACAAAAATGAGCAATGATGTATTTCCTGCTTAAGTATTTTCATGGTTGTTTTCTCTTTAGATTATCTATTCTGTGTCCCCCATTTAACCCCCTCAATGCTTTATGAGGGAACAGTCACTCAGAGCAACCTTGAATCCCTCTGACACAAATTCTGGGCTATACACATAAAACTGACTGGACATTGACTTACCATCCACATACTCCTGGTAGGCCTCAAAAATAGATTCAATACCCTGCCACTTCCTTGGAGCTTCTTCCGCTTCCTCCTCCTCCTCCTCCTCCTCATCCTCATCCTCCTGCCCAGATTCTTCCTCGTCCTCATCAGACAGGTTTTCTCGTGGTGCTGCAGTGTCCCGCCTGACCACCGGAGAATGGAAGTGATTGCCGTTGATGTGTGCATGCTGAGGGGCATGGTTAAGATTTGAATGTTTCGGGTGAGAGATGTTGTGAGCCAACGAGTGCTCAGCCTTCACGCCAGCTTCAGGGACACAATTTGAGATTCCTTAGAGGAAAGGAGTGAGACAAAAGGGTAAAGTCAGTCTTTGCAGCACCTCACAAGGAGCCAACACACTGAATGTACACCATTAGAGATTTTAGGGTAGTTCACGTAAACACCACCAGATGGCAGACCATTGTCATTTTACAATTCATAATCAAACCTAATAGCCATGCACCTATGGGAGTGAGAGGCTAACCTTTGTTCTGCAGTGTGTTGTGTGTGGACTTCAGCACAGCCTGGTGGAAGTGCTGAGCAAAGGCCTCAGGTGTGAATCTCTCCCAGGGTCGATTCCTTCCATTCTGCACCAGATTGAGCTCCTTTTTCTGAGGCGAAACAACAACGCCGTTCTGGAGCCCCTGGAGCTTCCTGTTTGGCTGAGCCTCCATGAATTCAACCTTTTCACATTGAGAGGCCAAGGGTGGAGGAACACGGGCCACCTGCGAGTCCATGGAGGGTTTGAATGTGTCATTATGGAGGTGCTTAGGTTTATGTAAGTAAGGAGGTGAAGGGCTGGGAGAGTCTGGGTACAGATGTCCATTTGATTGACACGGCAGAGGGGCTGAGGAGGAGTCACCTAAAAACAAATGTGCACAGATCATGAGAAGGAGTTTTTCCACAGCTTTATACATAAATGTGTGTGTGTGTGTGTGTGTGTGTGTGTAGTTGCCTCTCTGTCTGTGTGTGTCTTACCAGTTGCGGGAGCAGGAGGACTGCTACACGGAGGTAAAGGATTATATCTGAGAGTGTCTAACGTCACAGTCTTCCTCTGAATGGCCCTCAGCAGCTCCTCTGTCCTCTCCTTATCTACAGAGAAAAAGACAGAATGAGAACAGCTGTCATTCATATTTGAAAATAGGAGGATTTAAAAAATTGACTGGCACCAGGAGCTGAAGGAAAAAGGTCAGCAAATGGATGATCTGAGGGTAATGTCGATTGCAAGAGCACCACAGACTCACTTTCAGTTTGTACCAGTTTTCGCCTAAAAAGTATCAACTGGTTTGGAGCAGATTGGTGTATACAGATTTTAACCCAGATTTTATCTCCCCTATTCATCCAAAAGCTGAACACTGAAGTTTACAGAAAACTACATTCTCTTGTTATGCTGATTGCTTCCTGTAACAGAAAATGGAGAGAAAAATTGAAAAGCAGTGCAAATGAGGTGCTGATTATGCGCCAGTGTCCCTCTAAGCAAGTAAAAAAATTTCAACAACAGTAAATATTCACTGTTAACTGTATTTTAAATCAGATTTTTGCCTGGATTTCTGTATTGTGAATTTTATTTATCAGATTAATAATAAATAATAAATGGCAAAAACCAAGTAAACACAGCAAATTCACAGCTTTTTAAAAATAAGGAATGGGAACTAATGAGCCTTGAGTACAGCTCAACAGTTCAACATTGCAAACACAGTCTTTACAGAGGATAGTGTTTGTTGCAGAGTTACTGTATCAGTAACATGTAGTAGAGAAACTCTCCCTCGTACCGTATGTATATATGCATGCGGTACAAAATTATTCCAAACCTAACAAAATCTATCTAAATATTTAATTTTGCCTATTTTTAAAATGTGAATGTCTACATTTTTACATAAAAAATGTATTAGTTTAATAACTTTTTTCAAAGGAATTCATACATTCTTAACTTATTGTATACTTTGACAGACTGTAGATTAAAATCTACCCTTGCTGGAGAAAGTAGAAAACCCTGCTACAACCTCCAGAATTCTCCTAACTTTATTTTCTCCTCACTGCTCCTACATCCTTGGTAAAAAAGCAAAACTGAGAGAAACTGAATGTTGTATTTTTCCACAGGGAATCACCAGAACAACTGTGCACAGAGCAGAGTAACACGTAGGATGTGTGTGGATGCTGAACAGGTTATTACCTCTCCTCTGCTGTGGGCTGACATGGGAGAGGTTGAACATAAGGAGGAAGTCTTTTTTCTCCTCCAGTTCGGGGGTGCAGTCCATCTGCTCGGCAGAGTATGGGGTACTTAAGGGATTTGTAGGTGTTGAAGGTGAAGAGGCCTTTCTCTTGCCCCGCACGGCCGGCGGAGAGAGGCTGCGCTCTCTCATCATCCTCCTCCTCTTCCTCCTCTTCTGTGCCAGAAGCTCATCGCGATGGGCCAGCGTGGTCAGACCACACACACGTAGCAAATCCACTTTCTTTAGGAAGAGGAATTTGGGCAGGTGAATATCATATATATCAACAAAAGTGTTCAAACTTCAAACCTGTGATGAATGTGTATGTGAACCTATATTTATGCACCTCAGAGGACGTGTCCAGTTTGAGTGGCGGCTGTTCTGTCACTCTCCTCAAATGGGCTTTCACTTCCTCCTCGTCACTCTCATCATACGACTCATCCAGGTCATAGTAATAACCTGGCAAGAGCAGAGCAAGACTGAAATTATCTTTCATCAAAAAAAGCAATCATTCCCTGTAGTCATCTCCTCTGCCTACCACTTCCCCCTCCTGCTAAAAAACTCCCTCCCCTTTATCCTCCTCTATCATCCTGCTCACCTCCCTCTCTGGCCTCCTTCCTTCTCTTCTCCTCCAGGTCAAGCTTGCTGAGCAGCCGACGGTGCTGCTGGAGAACCTCGTCATACACCAGCATGCTGTCGGGCGCCTGACTCTGTCGCTCCCTCACCGGAGACGGAGAGGCCTCCCGGCACAGTCCCCCCAGGTCAGTGCTGGGGATCGACAGAGGTACGCAGGATCTCTGGTGGAGGTTATTGATGTGATGCCGGTGGTAGAGACTCTGAATGGCTCTGTCCTGCTCAGTCCTGTTCCAGGACTCCTGTAAACTAGCCGCCCTCAGTGAGGGGTACCTCTCTGGGCCTTCTGCCCTCCTCCTGCCTCCTTCTTCCAGCTTCTCCCCCCAGCTTAGCGAGGGTCTGTCGTTTCTCGTCAGTCCCGGAGGCGGTCGACTTGGTGGTGTAGGAGGGTTGAGTTTTCTGCGGGAGTCTGTAGGTGTGTCAACAAGGGAAGCTGGGTTCCACAGTGTAGTTGGAGCAGCAGGAGTATGATGGGGACCTTTAGGGGAGATAAGAGGAGGTGGGGCACCGAGGCAAGGGGGTACATCTTTGCTGCCTGGGTTGTGATGGATTGAATTGGTTCTGTTTAGGAAAATAGAAAGCCATATACAGTTCCATTTAGACTCACAGTCCACCTAAACTGTGTGACATCACAGAAGGAAAACAAACCATTTTGTGAAGCTAGTTTATTTGGCATTCTCACCTGTAAATGTCTCTCCTTTGATCCACCCCTTTCCCTGGTGACCTGAGGCCCAGCTCCAGCGGACCCTCCCTCTCCTGCCCTTGTCCTCGTTGCCGTGCTAACCACGCCTCCTCGCTGGCCCTTTGAGTCATCATGGCGGCTGCCAGAGCAGCAGCATGATGCTTCCCCAGGTGAGAAGGCACCAGGCTGGGCATTGGGTGTGGGATAGAGCCCCTGGAAGAGTGAAGGCCAGCCTGCAGGGGCAGAGGTTTAGGTGCTGGGAAACCTGGATGCTCTGAATCCTTGGGTTTATCTGAAACATAAATACAGAAACCATAAAATTAGTTGTTGAACGTGTTATGTCAATACTAATATGTTTGTGTAGATATTTGGATGAACAGCAAAAAATCTTTTCTGTAATATCCAGAGATTTATTCAGACATCATTCCCATACTTAACACTTTTTGACAGGGTGGAAAATCCGATGGATCACCAATACAATTCTAACTAAAAGGTTAAAAATATGTGCATTTAGTGCTGTATAGGTTGTTTAAAAATAAAAATAATTGTATTTCATTAAATTTCAATGCATATATTTTGTATATTTATTTGTAATCTATATTTGTTTAATGTGTGAAAGTGGAGAAAAGTGAAGCATCGTGAATCATCATAAAGTTTCAAAGTACTACTTTGTAGAAAGTAGTAACAGATGTGAAAGAAGCACATTTACTGCTGTGCTACAAACACTGTCTTGTCTTGATTCATTTATACATAAATACATTTTGAGTGCAAATCTGACACAAGGAAAAGCATCCAAGACGAAGCAAACGGCATATTATCTATTATCAACCATGTCATATAGTAGTCATGTATTCTTCCTACACTGACCCTCTACAGTAAAGGTCACGGGGTCATTGTAACCAGAAGTGTTCAATATTTAAGGAACTTGACTGTGTTCTGCAAATTTCAGCAAAGACTCTACTTTGCATGAGATCACAAGATATCTTGTGTGCAGAGTTGAACTTAAGACCTGATGCTGAAGCCCCATTAAAACTCATGGAGAGAATAAAATTCAGAGGATTCATCCTCTGGGGAGCATGCTTGTGCTAATTTTATGCCTATTATATGCTGATATTTTTGTATACAAATGGAAAATTTGGCATGGTGGTGCACATGAGGAAGGTCAAGGGGTCTAGAAAATCATTGTCCTTTGGGGGCTATAAGTATCCATACCAAATTTGATGGCCATCTGCCCAGTAGATATCAATATATTTGGCTATTCAAAAAATGTAACTACTTAGGATCAAAACTTCTTAAATGGCATTCTCATGTAATTTTCAACGAGTAACAATCTCTTATCTGTGCTCAGAATAATGTATTTAGTTAACCAGGTGGAGACCAGGGACTTCGTTAGTGAGAAAAGGATTATAAGCGTTTTTTTCAACTCTGAGTATGTGGTTGTGTTTTTGCTTGCGTCTGTGCAGACATACATGAGTGCATGTGTGTGGTGGGTGTGCGCATGTTCGTGTGTAGGTACCCAGTCTGTTTGGGGTCAGCCTCTCCCCTGGCCTGGCCCTGTCCTCCGGTGGCGCCCTCCGAGCCTGCAGCTCAGCCAGGTAGTGGCTCTCCGCCGCTCGGACCATCTGCTGCTGCCTCTCCCTCTGCTTCTCCTTCTGTCTGTCCAGCTCTCTCTCCCGCTCTCTCTCCCTCTCCTCCTCCCTCTCTCTCTCCCTCTCCCTCTCCCGCTCTCGTTCCAGCTCTGCCTCGCGCTCCCTTTCTTTCTCTCGTTCACGCTCTTGCTCTCTCTCTCGCTGGCGGAGCTCATTCTCCATCTGTAGCCTGTGGGGGAGGTTGACAAGGATGCACACATACACAACAGACACACACACGCAGGGGGAGAAGGTGAGAGATGCAACACCCAACATGAGGCAGATATTAACCACACACTGGTGAACCTCACACAAACATTTCTGCTCCAACATACACACACTCACAGAAACACACACAAATATGCACACACGCTCTCCACTTACCATGAGGAAAATAATCCATACACAGCATGACTGAGCAAGAGCAGATGAACACTTAATAGGTATCCACAGGAAAAGGACACACACACGCATACACACACAAAGCAGAGCACATTCACCAGCAATCAATTGCACACAAACAAACCTACAAGATATGCAGGAGCCATTATAGAAGCAGATGATAAATACCATCCATTTCAAAAACAAACATTTCCCTGTGCTTTATGCCACAGGGAAACAATGTGTATTGTGAAAGTGAGGAAGGAACTCAAAGTACTCAAAGAAAACAGAGCGAGCGAGCAAGCGAGAGAGAGAGAGAGAGAGAGAGAGAGAGAGGGAGTAAAAAAGACTTCCTTATGTGCATGTTTGAGTTTTTATGTATGCAGTGGCTTGCATATGCATGTGTATGGGTGTGCAGTGTGTGTGTATATGTGTGTGTGTGTGTGTGTGTGAAGGGCAGTGTGTGTGATGAGTGTATAGGAGGCACTGTGGGGTGTGTGCTAAAAATATCACACACTCAGTAACCCGTGCCTACCCTACAGAGATACATTACACAGCCCTACAGACAGAGGGAGAAGAAAGGAAGAAAGAAAGAAAGAAAGAAAGAACGTAAGAAAGAAAGAAGTGTGTGTGTGTGTGTATGTGTGTTTATGTGTGTGTGTGTGTGTGTGTGTGTGTGTGTGTGTGTGTGTGTGTATGTTACCTCTCAGCCAGTGCTGTGTGGTTTAGTTCTCCAGGGTAGCGGCCTCCAGGCAGGTGCAAGTGGAGGGCAGAGGGGTGTAGAGGAGGGAAGGTGCCCCCTGCAGGCACAGAGTAGAACTGTGACCGCAGCGCAGAAAGACACAGAGACTCCTCCATCCTATGACAGGCACACAGAGGCAAACCAGTCACACTACTGCATATCTGCACAGGCCAGATATGGAAGTGGAAGATTATCTGATATATAAAGGTAACATCACAGTGAAGGTGAAAGGACGATGTGAGTGTATGAAAGTATTAAAGTAGGTTTTATAGCTTGAAATCTGAAAGAAAAATACAGGTTAGCAGATTAGTTGGAGTGAATGGGGTATTTACAGGAGTACTCCTGATTTTCAGAAGCATGGACATGAACACACCAACTGATCCTCTGTGGACAAACAGTATAACGAACCTCTCACCACTGCTTTCAATAAAACTATGAATTGTTTTAAAACATGCTTTTTCTAATTTTGAGAACACACACACTTGATACCAGTATATGACCATTTTGATTGTTTAATAAACGTTTAAACCGCTTTTTTGATTATTTAGGATTTTAAAGATTGTAGTTTATGCTTCTTTAAGCCTCCCTACTGTCTTATTAAAATGCTTTGTATTTCCATGTGTATGAACTGTGAAGTTCAAATAATGTGTCCTTGCCCCTGGTAACTGTTTTAACATGTTCTGTGACTAAGTAATCTTCTTAACTTGGGATATCACAGGTAGGGTGGTAAGAGTATCTGTAAGGTGATGGGTTCAGTGTAATCTATGTTGTGTCATTGTGTTTAGGATTGTAAAAGAATGGTAGAATAGGCAGTGTCACCTTGGTGCGTAAAATAACATGGGTTTGTCAAGGTCTCATGGGACTGAAGAGTTTAAAGGGGTATTGTTACCTTGGTAAGGACAGAGGGTGGTGCAGGTAGGCAGGATGATAGTAAGCAGCAGCAGCTGCAGCATGGGCAGCAGCAGCAGCAGGATCAAGGCTCAGGGGTAAAGAGGTCAATCGAAGGTCGTCTGAGGTGGCGAAGGGCCGGAGTGCTCTCAGGTATTCCTCTGGGACGGCACCTGAAGGAATCACAGGGTGCATCTGCCCAGGCAAACTGTGGAAACATGACACAGTTTTATGTGTCACATTGGCTCTCATACTATACATTTAAGCCAAACATACTTCATCTGACTTCAGACATGCTCTGTACGAAGGAGTTTGAGGGTTTATAATCAAATAAAATGTTTCTTTACCCTCATGCAAATACAGTCCAACTACGAGTGTGCGTTACCTAAGGCTCTGTATTCTGGGATCTTGCATGATGGAGCTAGGGGTGAGGCCAAAGGGGTGAGCCAGTGGGTGAGGTGAAGGGATGGGCGGAGTCCTCTTATCCTGCTGTTGCTGGCTGTTCTCAGCACCCACCCTCTCCCGACTGATTCCCTGAACACCAGGCTCAACCTAGCAGGGAGACAGACAGTGTGAGAGCAGACATTACTATGTATATCTGTGGGGTTAGAATGTGTGTTAGACTGAAACTGAGCAGAAAAAAAGTTCAGGAAAAGAGGAAATGGAAATGAAAATGAGTGACTGGGTAAAACCCCCCCCAAGCTGCACCCAGAAGCTCAGCGGTGGAAAAGTGGGTCTGATATGTCATAACAGGTCAAGATCAAAGCGGAAAGATGATCCTAATATCAGACCCACTGCTCTCCTCCTTCATCACTCACTCTCTCTCTCTAAGAGCTTCTCCCTCATTGGATTTGGTCGCTACAACATTGCATTTGATCCTTGATTCCTTATAGTAAAATTCCAACCCTCAAATCACCACCATGACAAACATAGTAATAGAAAAAAAACCCAAATTACAAATTTAAATTTCCCCCAAACTTGCATATAAATATACAGTTAATAGTGCCACTACTGCCAAGGTAGAGAAGTAGAGAAGTATAATACACTCGAGTGAATGTTTGCCATGTTTTTATTATCTCAGAATTCTGAGATAATAATCTTGTTCAGGAAAAAGGGGCAAACATTTTTCTCTCAAGTGAATGCATTATGCTTCTGTAACAAGCGCATTTGTCCCAGTTCACTCAATATGTCATGTGTCATTATACAATCCTGTCTCTAAAAATTTCAACTAAAGAGGCAAAAAGCTAAAAGATAATGTTAAATATGACTAAGAGTCTACAGCCACGCTAGCAGCTCTGTGATGCTAATGGTGCTTTGAGTTACATGCTAATGACAGCATGCTAACATGCTCCCAATGGCAATGTTAACATGCTGATGTTTAGCAGGTACATCATCTTAGTTAAACGTGTTTGCATTTTGATATTTACTAATTATCACTAAGCACAAACACAGCTAAGCTGATGTGAATGTCATTTGTTTTGCAGGTATTTGTTCATAAACCAAATCTGTACTACACTGGAGAAATGACATTTTCGACCTGATGATAGCACAAGTGAAAAGTCAGAGAATCACAAAAATCATTAGGATTCATCTACTGGACACCATAGATGTCTGTTCAAATTTAATGACGACTCATCCAATAGTTGCTGAAATATTTTGGTCAGGACACACCGACTGTTCAACTGACCAGCAGACTGACAGCCTGACATCATAGAGCCACAATGCTAGCATGGCAAAAAAACAAAACATTGTCTTTTATTGTGACACTGGGACCAAGTAGTGGAGAAAATCTTTGTGGACATTGATTTTTCCAGGATAAAGAAGAAATAGCTGCCAGGAAACTTTTGACTAGGCCTACAGCATGTTAATGAGAAGAAGACACATACATTTATGCACACCTATGTGTCAAATGTTGTTGCTACAGTAGCAGACCACAATACAAGTACAATACAAAGTCAGACAGACCATGGACAACCGACAAACAAATGACCTCTCCCAGCAAAACCCCATCTGCTACCTTAGCTCTGTACAACCCTTGACTTGCAGTGAAATATCTGTGCTTTGAATATGTTTGACTAGTTTTGAATGTGTCACTCATGGAAAGCAGATTCAAACCCGTGATGAGCCATATTGCTCTCTTTCTCTCTATCACTCAGCAATCTACACTGTTTCAAAATGAGAAGGGGAGGCAATGCACGAGGGGTCTGGAGAACAGCCAACACATTCTTTGACCTCTGACCCCGCAGACAGCCAACAGCCTTCACAGATGCAGCAATAAACACACACAAACAGTCTGTTTCTTCAGCTTAAATCATCCTGTCTTGTCTTTCTCCGGTCTAGGACAAGCTGCATACAGAAAAGGACAAATACTGAATTTAGACAAACTTTTAGAGCCCTCACTCCTCTCTCTGTCGCTCTCCTGGTCATTCTTACATTCCCTCCCCTCCTTTCTTAACATCCTATTCTCTATTTTCCTGCCTCCCTCCCTCCTTCTTTCTCTGAATGTCTGAATGGGAGCCCCAGGCAGGCAGAGCCACAGAGTGGTCTTTGTGAAGGGGGAGAAAGGCAGCTCTGATCCAGGGGGAAGTGGCTACTGTGGGGGCTAACCCCTGCATTGTGTGAGGGGCCTGGTTCCTCGCCCCAGCTTAAATTCACTCACACACCCACAAGCAAACACATCCACAGACGCACACACACACATACACAGGTCCCTCTTCACATCCTAAGCCTTTTGTGGTGAAGGGTCAAGTACACACACACACACACACACATACATATGAGCACTCACACACACACACTGCAGGAAGCTGAACACAATAGGTGCCAGTCTCTGCAGCCTCCAGTGTTTCTTTACAAACCCCTCATGTGTTGCTGAAAAAGACATGGACTGATTAGTGAGAGGAAGAAGGAGCGAGGAAGAAGGGTGAAAGCATGAAAATAAAAGTATGAGACAAGAAAGAGAAAGAGAGGAAGGGGGAAAGAAAGAGAGACACAGAGGGATGGCTGGTTTTGACAGTTTGATGTTGAGAAGCACTGGGACCATTTCTTTAATGGAGGGAGCAGCGGCAGGACGAATAAGGGAGACAAAAAGAGACAGACGACTCATCTGTGCCGAGAGAGAGCACAGGAGAGCAAGAGAGAGAGAGAGAAAAAGAGAGATGAAAAAATACAAACCAGCAAGACAAGGGAACAGGAAGTACTGATACACAGAGAGAACAGCAGATGTCTTGTCTCAAACTTGTCTGGAACACCAGCAGGCATGACAGTTTGATAAACATCATCTCTTACCTGTCGTCCGTCGGCCCTCCACAGGCCGTTGCTGGTCTTTGTGGGGGCAATGGTGACTACCGGAGGGGTGCTGGGGACACCGTGGCCCCTGCTCTGACCCAGGAGGGGCCCTAAAGAACCCCGCTTTGGAGTGGTGACTGGCGAGCTGTGGCTGGTGGCCGGGGAGGAGACTGGAGACGACTCACCGCTGAGGGTCGAACCTGGGGAGGGGAGAGGGGGTGAATGACAGCGGCAGAGTCGAGAATAAACTGCAGCTATCAGACGGCTTATCAGATTAAAAAGATTTCAGGATCAAACAATCCCCCTGTGACATAATACAGATGGTACACAAAAGGAAAAATCAACTTTTTTTGTCAGTGTGCTGGCCTGTGAAGAGGTAAAAAGTGATTCAATCATCTTGATGAAACGTGTTCTGGTGAAATGTGACAGAAATAAAGGAAAGTGTAAAAAGATACAGGAGGTACAAGAGATGAGGACAAGGGTACAAGATAAAAGTATGTGACAAGTATGTATGTGTGCACACTAATGAAGGATAAAAAAAAAACCCAGATATATAGAGAACGAAAGAAGGATGTCATAAATGAAAGTGTTAAAAAAAAAGGCCTGGGTGTGACGCAGTGCAAGGGGAGGTGTTAAATGTGACAAAGAGAGAGAACATGTGTGTTGTCCTTAACATTCACTCCACCATTACTCTATTACTGTAACACTCACTAATCAGTATACACTCACAGAAACACAAACACATTCAGAGACTGCAAGAAGGAGGAAATAATGAGGTGGAGAGAAGGTGGGAGAAGAAGAGAAAGAGCTGCAGGCAGAGAGCAAGAGATGGTGATAGAGAGTTGGGGACAGGGAGAGAGAGAGAGCTTGTTATAATTGGCTGTAATTAGATTCTCGTTATTAGGAGATGAATGGAAACGGATGAAGGAAGAGACAGAGAGGAAGAGGTCAGAATGGGTCAGCTCTTATCCAACACCTTCATTAGGACACCAACAAGCTGAGCGAGGACACACACAAACACACACACACACACACACACACACACACACACACACATACACAACCAAAGAGCTACCAGGCGCTAAAACATTTTACATTAATCCACAAAACATAACCTCAGTCAGCGAAGTGATCTACTGGCACTGTGTTGCAAAAGTGTGTCCAATTTAAAGTCATTAATAACTTGTTAACATCTTAAATGAATAATCTGACATTTTGCTTTTTGGAGGAAGGTTAGATGAGAAGATTGATACCACTCTCATGTCTGTATGGTAAATATGAAGATACAACCAGGAGCTGGTTAGCATAAGCTAGCATAAAAGATGGGAAAATATTGTGACAAAATCCATCTCTCAGTATCTCTAAATAATCAGTTACATTTATGACAGATGCAGAAGCTTATTGTCTTTTCTCAGCAGAGAAACGGAATAAGTGTATTTCCTAGAATGTTGAACTATTCCTTTTATTTTGTTTTCACAGTTCAGTTTCTTGGTTTAGAGGTGACAGAAATTATTAAATATACAGATATATTAAAGGAGACTGAACAAACCTGGCAGCAGTAGTGGAGGTGGTTGTTTTTTGGGTTTGACCAACAAAGAAGAGTCCTCTGAACGTGTGTGTGTGTATGTATGTGCGTGTGTGTGTTCAGGACTATGTTACCTCTCCAGGGCGGGGAGCCACTGGAGCTCTGGGTTTTTTTAAGTTAGATCACCGCTCACCTCTGGGATCCTCAGCCTGTTTGGCCAGTTTACGAAGAGCAGCAGCGAATCCCGAGTTTGCAGACTGGGCAACTGCGTTCCCATTGGTTAGCGGGCTGAGGGGACTGACAGTAGCCGTGGTGCGAGTTGCCGTGGAGATCATTCCTAATGATGATGATTTATTGGAGTCATGGTTCATACCTGAGGAGAGTGGGAAGAAAGATGTTATTATTTGATATCTCTAAATAAAACATGGACAATTCAGTTTGCAGAGGTGTATGAGGCCTTTGTCAACTAATGCATTTGATTACCTGCTGTTGTCCAAAAATTATGTTTCTGCTTTGAATTGGTTTGTATGAAAAAGCGTCAGTTTGTGAACACAGCTGGCATCTCATTTATCTTGAATGAGTCAAACTTGTCATACACAAGTAGTCAAAGATATTGGACAAGTGTGTGTGTGTGTGTGTGTGTGTGTGTGTGTGTGTGTGTGTGTGTGTGTGTGTGTGTGTTCCTCCCTTTGTGTCTGGACATCATTGTGAGTGTATAAGCGTGGGTCAGCTCCACTAGAGACAGAGTGGAGGGAGTAGAGCTGTGTCAAATAGAGCGGTGACCCTAATAGCAAATCACACACATGAGTGCACACATGTCCATTTCCTCAAGGGAGCCAGTCAACACATCTTAAGACCTCGGGCGTGTCTACACGTAAACATTATTAGGTATTTTTACACCCTCACAAATACATGCATCTACACACACAAATAAATACGCACAGCCACAGACACAACTAACACCTATCGATCTACTGAGCAGTGGACACACTTGGAGCAAACATGGTTGGAGTAACCTTTGTCTTCACCCTCTACCCTCTTACTGACCCACTAATGTTAATTACAGCTGGAATTAGCCAGCAGCCCCCCTGCCTGCTACAGCAATGATCTCATTACCACCACGACGCACACACACACACACAACTACCTTTCAAGCATACATACACACACATTTACCACAGGAGGAACAAACAAACAGCCAAAGCAGTGGACACACTCATGAAAAATTCATATATGCACATTGAACACCATTATTCAATGTTCTGCTCATCACATGGATGATTCTGAAGAATCGGAAGAATAAAGGAAAGTCAGATCTCAGAGTTTGTTAGCTCAAAGTGTAATAAATCTCATATTTACAAGATGTCAGCGCAGATACCTGCCATCTTCACACACGTGAGCACAAACATGCAGAGGGAGCTGTAGAGCGACAGAGTGAGAGAAGAAGGTATATGAAGGAAACAGTGAGGAAAGGGAGAGAAAATTAACAAAAGCCAATTTTCAAAGTAAGGGTACATGAAGTGGAGATGGACAGAGGTTTCTACATGAAATCATCTTAACCATCAGAGATACACATCCACAACCACTGCCACCTGCACACACGTCCTCTGCATATGCCTAAAATATAAAACTCATTATGAGCTAAATATCAAAGTTTGAAATTCCAGGTTTTACAGCCTGCCAGCTGATGAAAAAGCTTCCTCTCCTCAGTTTGTTACCAGCTACTGCAAAAGAACACAGACAAATAACAGATAAGCTGCCAATCTACATCTAACTGCACTGGATGAGATATATAACATGTGTTATGTATACAATTAACATGCATTCAGCTTCTGACATGACTGTCTTCATACATTAGAAGATTACAGTGTACACAAGATGTTCTTTTCTTATTATCTTGTTTCTATTGTAGTCATAATTTCTTTTCTTTACTCTCTGTTTTTCTTTATTTCTTTGGCTTCACTTATATATTTGCATGTCTTGTCAATAAAGCAAATTGAAATTGAAACTGACAGACAGAAAGGGAAAGATGAAGAGAGTAAAAGCTCAGATCCTGACAGGCTGTGTGAGTGTGCGTCTATATCTCTGTCTCTGCTGAGCCCAGCAGTCCAGGGAGCGATGATAAGACAGTTTCTATCGACTCTTTCTCTCCCTCCCTCCTCTCTATTCACTCACTCTTTCCTTCCCGTTTCTCTCTCCCTCTCTCTCTCTCTCTCTCCCCCTCTCTCTCGTTTATCTCAGCATACTGGAGCTTATTTAACAAAAGCCAACACACATAATCTCCTCTCTGTTTCTTGCTTTCTTTCTTCCTTCTTTCTACAATCTTTTTTTACAGGCTCTTCCTCTGATATTTATCCATGTCATTCACACACACAAAGACAAACACAAACATACTAACATATGCATGTGCACATAATTCAGACATGCAAACAGACACACTCACCCTCCCACTCACTGTTCTCCTCCTGCTCGTCGTCTTTCTGCTCCTCTGTGAGACTCTTTCTCTCTCTCCCTCTCAGCCTTGCAGCTGCTACGTGGTCACGTGACCTCTTTTCTATCCACTCCCCCCACCCCACCCCCCCTCCTCCTCCTCCTCTCCATCCTCCGCCCCCTCCTCCTCCTCCTTCCCCTTCCCCTCCCTCTCCATCTACCACCCTCTCCATCCTACCTCCTCTCTTCTGTGTCACTCTTTTTATCTTTCCATTTTCTCTCCTTAGCTGCCCCTTCTCTCTCTCTCAAACTGTGCTCTCTGTCGTTTTTTCTGTCTTCATTCTTCATCTTTCCTCCTTTTGGCTCTCAGTCCTGGGAGGGTGGCAGTGGCGGTGGTGGTTGGGGTGGGGGAGTGAGTAGAAGGAGGGGGGTTTAGGGGGATGACGGGGAGGTTGGGTGTGTGGTTTAAGCTCTGAGAATGTGTGTGTGTGTGTGTGTGTGTGTGTGTGTGTGTGTGTGTGTGTGTGTGTGTTGTGGCAGAGGCTAGTGTTAACCCTCCATCCATCACTCTGTCTTACTGCAAGTCAGCTCTGTCTGCTTTGGGGACAGGGGTGAGTTCACTGGGGTTGGGGGTGGGTCTGACAGTGACCTTTCACCCTTTCACCCTAAAGACAAATTAAGACATTTAACTCCCTTTAGGAATTAAAAAAAAAAATTATGACTGAATGAGTAAACACATCTACATGACTCCAGCCCCATGAGACTATAATGTTCATAAGACATCAGAAAACTGTAAAAATGAAGAGACAACTTTGCAAGTCATATCAATAGACTACTGAAGCAAAACAAATATGTATATGCACAGTTACCATTTTGATGGACTCTCCAGGGCGTCAGATTTCACTTTCTCCTGTTTAAGTTTTTAGCTTCATGGAGTTTAACTGTGCTTTCAGCTGAATGTATGCTAACATTTTTACTGTTATGTTACAAACAAGTCAACATACTGAATTACAGCAAACATTACTACAGATAGACTAACCTAAAATTAAATTTGCTACAAAAACGCTAAGATTTAGCATAAGCATTAACATCAAACTACAGCTCCGTTTGTATTCAGACTGAGGTGGTACAACTACATAGAAAATCAATAGAATGAAAACGAAAATTGAAAATGTTGGACATGTTTCAACTTAAGCAGAAGTTTATGTAACTGAACTGAACCACGAGGAAGAACTGAAGATCAGCTAAATAACAAAATTGCAGTCCCTTATTAGTTTTGAGACCAGTCAGAGCTTCAAACATACACACACACACACACAGCCAATCTTCGCTTACACACCATCAGCATATAGGTTGCTAGCTAGCTAACCATTACAGCCAATTGGTACATTCGCAGCTAGGGGTGAATTTACACAGAGCACAAAAACACTCAAAATTAAATATTTACAGTACATACAATATTTAGATCAAATCTGAACATACCTTCATGCTCAAAACTCCACTGTCAACCTCAGTGTATTTGAGCTCAGCTGTGAGTTTAACGCAGGCAACATTATGCTATTTACAGAGGGCATGTTTTGATATGCATGTTAGCATTAACATTCATACAGTAAGTTAGAAATGTGCTAACATGCAACAGCTATCCATATGCATGTTAGCATAAATTTTAAGTGAGGTCACCAGCTTTTAGTCATTATTTTTAATGTATCCTGCCATGAGTCCTGAAAGTGAGTTGATCACCAAAGTCGTTATGATTAACCCTGTGTGAGCCATTGCTGTCTGTATGAAATTTCATTGCGCTCCGCACTGCTATGCTGGGTAAAAATAAGCATCACAACATCACAAGTGCAACTACTCCCAGCTTTGTCAAAATGGAAATTACATCCGGGTGTGGTTCCATTCACCCATATACAAACACACACACACACACACACACACACACACACATACACACGCACACACACACACACACACACTACATACACAATCACACTCTGCTCAGCATGAAGTAAGTGACATAGGACATGTTGAGGCCTGTGTCTTTAACACTTTTTTTGTCTCCCCCTTCACTTTCACTCTCTCCCTCTCTCTCCGACACACAAAAACAAACACTCACTACAGGGGGACTGTGAGGACAGCAGGGGGGGCCTGCCCTGCCCTATCAGCTCATTAAAAAAAGCACTTTGTGTGTGTGTGTGTGTGTGTGTGTGTGTGTGTGTGTGTGTGTGTGTGTGTGTGTGTGTGTGTGTGTGTGTGTGTGTGTGTGTGTGTGTGTGTTTCAGAGAGCAAGAGCAGGGATGAGTGATTAGGTTGGAAGAAGAGGTTGTAACACACTACCTACTCATTAACCCTCATCACATTGACATGTCTGAGTGTGTGTGTTCCTGTGTCGGCTACCATGTTAACACTTAGAGATTAAATTAACTATCCTCATTTGTGTTTACAGTTACCTAACATTAGACCAATAATGAGAATGCACACATACACACACACACACACACACACACACACACACACACACACACACACAGTGACTTAACAACAAGTAACACAAAAATATGCTCTATTTAAGTTTTAAGACACTATTACTTTGGCTCCTACAGCTGATACTAATCACAAGAACAGCTACTGTTGCTGTTACAATAGCTGGCAGACTTTTTCAAATTCCTCTGACAAGAACGCACTCACACACACACATACACAGGGAGCGAGAGAGAGAGAGAGAGAGAGAGAGAGAGAGAGAGAGAGAGAGAAAGAGAGAGAGAGAAAAAGTAGCCAAATGTTTTACAGCCTCTTAAACTTGTCTGTAATAGCAGTCAGAGTGGCGTCAACACAGCAGTCTCCAGGGTTACTCCAGGGGCTGCTAAATGGCTTTACTAGCTCCAGTGACTCTGCAGCTCGCACTGAAACACTTAACACTTCCTTACAATCCATAAACAACGAACACACTCTCCCACTCTCGCACATTCACGGACACAGGAATAGGCCCGCAAATTAACATTAACGTCGGTAAAATGACATAAGACAGAACAATGACATCATCAAAAACACACATACGGGAGCAGTCTGTGTAAATAGTTGCAAATATAGACACATACACAATTAGCTGACTCAGGATTCAGGCATTGTGCGTCACAAAACATATGCATGTGACTCCTAGAGACCAAACAGCCAGCATGCATTTATGGTCCTGGGATAAATGGAGCAGAAAAACCACATACTGTAATAACCAACACCTCAAGCAAAAAACAAACAAACAGGAAGCACATCCGAAGACACGCTGCAGCAGAGAGTTAGCAGCATACAGCAGGAAAAGAAACAATGCAGAAAGGATGGTTAATGTAGCGGTCATTACTCAGTCTTATATTAAACAGTGCGTCCGCCAGAGCAGAGCCATGTTTACTGTGCAATCATAACAGAGTCGAGATGTTAGTGAAAGGTCTATAAATTATCACTGCTACAGCTTAGAGCAGAAATGTGGCCTGTCAGCAAAGACGGGATGGCTACACTGGAAAAGCTCTTCTCTTCTCTTCTCTTCTCTTCTCTTCTCTTCTCAAACTCAGGCCTTTACTCCCCCCTCCTCCTGGCTGCAGGGCACTTTTTCTCTTTCAGTGACCCCTTCTCCATTTCTCTAATCAGTGTACTTGTCTACGAGCATCTTGTCACTGTCTGTCAGATACAGAAAGCAGAAAATATAAATAGCAGCTGTTTTGGGACCCCTTACACTTCTCTCTATCTGTCTGTGTTGCCGTTTCTTTGCCTTGTCATCTCCTCACTATCTCTTTTACAGTCTCCTACCACTCACTCGACAGCCTCTCCCATCACGTCGGCTACATTTCTGCTTTCCCCTCTGTGTCATCGATCTCTTCTGCAACGTGTGGCTCAGTCTCGCCTCTCTCTGATAAGGACATGATGCAAAAAGATAAAACAATCTGAGGCAAACCAATCTTACTCTGTCTCAGTTTGTTTTCGGCGCCTGGCTGCGTCTGACTCCTGCACGCAGGTTTTTATTTGATGAGTGTGTGTGTGTGTGTTCAGCATTGGTAGAGGTGTATACAGAGGGTCGTGTCAGACAGTTGACAGCCACAGTTCCTCCTCCTCTGGCCCGAGGCCGCCTCTGCTCACCAGGTGTCGACACCGCGGCGGCTAGACCTCAACCATCTGAACAAACACGAGGGGGGAGAACACACACAGACACACTCTCATTGCACAAAGGTGCATAAAGATACAACAGACTGGCCTGTCAGGCAGGTGTTGGATAAGTATAAAGTGCAGGGTGTAATTGAGGTGTGTGCTACCTGCAAAACAACAATCACTGTCGTAAACAAGGATGTTAATGTTGAATGAGATATTTAAAGTACAATCTGGGTCAGCAAATCAGAGCTAGAGAGAAAATTAGGTTTTCAAATTTCATGGATTATTTCTTTGTATATTATCACTGTTTAGATGAGACCAAAGGGATAGGAAAACAGCCTGGTGGTTGATTTATTTATTACTGTCATCACCTCTGTCCTGTGTGTCAACTTGAATATGTGCCGTTTGGCTGTCAGTTGTATGTCTGGTATTTTTGTTTGTTTGAGTCTGTTACGGCTGTAATAATGTAATTTACTTTGTGCTTCCATGCTAGACTCATTCAGCTCCTCCACCCTATTTTTTTTCAATATGTGAAAGGTGCAGATGATGCTGTTTAGATAAATTCTATAGCATGTGTACATCTTCAGTAGGGCAGCAACTAATGATTATTTCCATTATTGATATACTTTTAGGGCTGTTCAACCTGAATATTATGTCAATTAATGTGATAATTATTTTTTAAAGGATGTAGATGGTTCTTTTGTCAGGATAGTTTCCTCAGCTGTTGTTTCAAGGTTGAAAATGAACCTCCACTTTTCAGCCAATGTGGACAAAACATCCATAAAGTGAACATCTACAGCTCCATGATAATTTCATCTGCTGATGAAGATGTAATATGACCCAAAGCTCTAAATGGAGCTTGTGGTGAGAGTGTTTACTCAACTGTGGCTTCCAATGTCAAGAATGGACTGTTTTCTTGATCAATCGATTAATTGTTGGACCTCCTCAGTATGTCTTGTTTTGTCCAAACAATGGTCTAAAACTAAGTCCAGGTCGACATATATTATATTTACAGTGATATAAAAAAACAGGAAATCCTCATATTTGACAGGTTGGAAATTGAAAATGTTTTTTGCTATTTCATAAAAGTTTCAACTCTAACAATACTGAAAAATACAGGGGGTAAATAGTATCAGATATTTACATACTGAGTGGACTATCAAAAACCACGTTATATGGTGGTCATTTTTACTGCAATTCTAACAATTCACTGACCAACAAATACAACATACTTTAAAGATTTTGAAGAAATAGACCCTGAGGTGATCTGAGCGGTGGAGTCTGGGTTTACAGCATCTATATGAGAAGGAGGTAATTAAAGAGATTGGAGGTTTACTCAATAACCCCTGCTGAGCAGCTGGTCTACGGCAGGTCAGGAACAACACATGGCGCATGGAGAGTATGTGTGCGTGCGTGTGTGTGTGTGTGTGTGTGTGTGTGTGTGTGTGTGTGTGTTGAACTCCACCTGCGGGCTGTGTACACACACAAAAGCGACGTGATCCGCTTGACTGCTGCTAATGCGCCCAGCGGCATCTATCTCAGCCAAACAATACAGCCGCTGTTAAAGGTCCCGGATTAAAGAGCGACTCCTCTAACTCCCATGGGTGCTGTTTAACAAACCATCTCAGCGAAACTGGGTGACACACCACAGCGTTTCAGGTCTGTCTTCCAGTCCGTTAAGTTTATTAGGAGCAAACAGCAACCCTGTTTGATCACCGACAGGTTTGACAAGAAAGATAACACAACAAGGAACCACAAACACCTTTCCAAACCTCACCTCCTGCAGCTGCGTCAAGACGCGCGCTGTGAACTAGACGAAAACAGGAAGTTGGGGAAGTCTAACTTAAAAATAAGAGCATGCAATGCTGCCTACATGAAGATTTGCTTGAGGATGCATCATTTGCTGTGGAAAAGAAGACAAGGGATTTACCTGTGCTTGAACTTTCCTTGCAATAATACTTTTGCTCCAGTTGTAAGTTACCGTGTCACGCGTTAACGACACTTTATTTTGAAAGTGGGAACCAGAAGCTGTTTCCTCCTCCAATCGTCAAGCTCAACCAGTTTGTCTGATCACATATTATCGACTGATTGAATCACACACGGCACACTGAGTCATCTGCAGTTTATCTAAAAATAGTCTCGATTAAAAATATAATTTTACTTCCTCCTCTTACTTCTTACAGTCGGTTTGAGGTAGACCAGATGTCCAGAAATGTAACTATCTAAAACTATCGCAGCCATAACACAGAAGAACATATCAGGCGAGTCACTGTTGAAAACTACAGACAAAGTAAAGCCCTCACATAGACAAAATATCGTATGTTTTTAAAAATGGAAACCATGGGGTCATTAAAGGTAAAGTCACCGCTCAGGACCACAGACGATAATAATTCAGTGATAATTTCAAACCCATGTTAACTTTAAAGGCAGTAGTACAGTAGCAGTAGAGACATTTTGTATCAGAAAACAGAAAACTTACCGCCTCACCAAAGAAAAGAGAATCCACAATTTTTGCGCATCCTTATGAAGATGAATAGCAGCCGGTCTGTGGGCAGCGATACTGACTACTGTGTGATCACCCCCCACCCCCTGATAGCAGATGTGGAAGGGAGAAGGACAACACGTTAACTGTCCTCAGGGAGAGAGAGAGAGAGAGAGAGAGAGAGAGAGAGAGAGACAGAGAGAGAGAGGCGGGGTATCAGAGGAGGAGGGGAGGGGAGGAGAAGGAGGGCGAGCACCTGCTCCACTGATGCTCCCTGGAGAGATTGAGGGATGGAGAGAAGGAAGATGTGGCCCCAGACTGCTGATACCTCAAAGCCTGGACATGTTTACTGTCCACTGGAGACAATCAGATCTGTTCCAGTCAGCTCCTCCTGCTGCTTCACTGTACACTCACACTGTATAAATACACAGGCCAATTTAACTCATATTAATAATAACAGTAATACTGCTATAAGTAGAACAGTAGAACTGAGAAAATCTTTTAGATAAAGATCCTTTAAATTTGGTTGTTAAAGAACCACATCCATAACATGTATGTTTTACTTTTAATGCATTTACTATTTATATAATTTCTGATCAGATCTTGAGTGTTTATCTGACATTCTACTTCAAATAATAGCACGAGTTACGTAAGGTGAAAATACTCATAATTAATTCATGATATTTATGATATTTACTGGAGTCACAAACATACTGTATGGAGTTTCAAGTAACAAACATGTTTATTAATATTCATCTGTCATCATGTGCTATAAGCTCACTCAGCCTGCTTCATTTAGTCTAATATTTCAGTATCTCCCCTGGGCCCCCCTCTCTCTCGCTCTCTCTCTCTCTCTGTCTCCCTGTCTGTTTCTTGATCATACATCCCTTCATCTCCCGATCCCTCTCTCCTCATCTCCCAAGCAGCTGCTCCACTTTGCAGCTATTTAACAGCTGTTTTGCATTGATTTGCGCATCCGAGTGCAGATTTCTACCTTGTCCATCCTCCTCTCCCCGCTCACTTTTTATGTCTCCCCCTCTCCTGCCTCTCCTCCCTCTTCTACTCCTCCATTTCTAAGATGCCAGACGCACAGTAACACCAAACAGCGTTGATGTTTTCCTCAATGAATAGACTGTCTCCTTCAAGTCTTTCCCTGAGATCCATTCAGTGATGAAAGAAGCACACACACAAGCATGCATAAACACAAACTGGTATGCATACACCCTAATAGACACACATTTGTACATTCATGCACACACACACACACACACGCACACACACACACACACACACACACACACACACACACTCATGCACACAGATTAGTGGCCCCCTACTTCCCTACTTTTCTCTCTATGGAAACAACAAGTACTGAAGGAAGCAACGAAGAAGAAAAGAAAAAAGTGAGGCTCCTCTATAATCCCCAAATCCCTCTCTCTTGTACTCAAACCTACACAAGAGAAAAGAGGGGGAGCGAACAACAATTCTGTGTGTGTGTGTGTGTGTGTGTGTGTGTGTGTGTGTGTGTGTGTGTAGCCTGACATGATTTATGGTTTGGCTGTGTGCTGCAGGCAGACACTCTCAGTTTTCTCTGAGGTGGGTGTCTCACCTCCATCCTTTGTGACCTATACAGGTTGTATAGCGTGTGTGTGTGTGTGTGTGTGTGTGTGTGAGAGAGAGAAAGAGAGAGAGAGGGAGAGACAAATGTACACATGAGCTGGTGTGTGTACAACTGCAGGTGCATGAAAGAAGCTTCTGATTGAACATGTGCTGCTTTGTGTGTTTTTGTGTGTGTTTGTGCACAGTGTTGGGGTCAAAGCGCACAGCGGTGTGTATTCTCTGGGTGGGTTATACTTGGCAGTGGACTGTTGGATCCCCCATTAAGTAGCGTGTAAAAGAGGCCAAGCACAGAGGCCATTATGAACTCCGGCAGTAATAGCTCCAGGAATCTTACTGCCTCTGGAGACCTGGTCATTAGCCTATTCCTCTCTCATAAAGCCCTCTATCCATCACACACCCAAGCATACACACATTTATATGCACAAACGCACAAGCACATGCATGGTTTGTCTCCGTCTCCTGCTCTCTTTCTTGCTCTCCGTCTATTCATCTTATCTAGTGTAGAAGAGTATAGAGCTGGGGAAACTGCTACAAGAACAATCCACCAAGACATCCACAGATGTCTTTGAAAACAGATGCGCTTGCTCGCGAATAAACACACACACACACACACACACACACACACAGATGCTCATTTACAAAAGCAGCGAGGCATAATATCAGCCATGAACCCAAACCCCTGATTATTTAAATGTATTCCTCCTTCCCCATCCAGTGAAAGTGAGACGCTGTAGCAGCCTGTTAGCTCTGGTCAGGTAGGAGATTACAAACAGAAACACTGTCACAAACAATGGTGCTACGTGGCTGGACAAGTATTATAATGGCAACTGCACCCACCTTCTGAGCATTTACACAAACACACACAGACACACACAGACGTACATGTAGATACACACACTCTGTAGCAATATTGGCAATTCAGACAAACTGCAAAGGCAACAAGGAGGTGAGTACACTCTTTATCCTCAGTCAGCTGCACACACACACATACTGTACAGTTGTGTGCTCACAATCACCATGCAAAACAGTGTGCAGAAACACACACACACACACACACACACAAAGCAGAACAGATTCACTACTGTATCACTAAACACACACACTGAGTGCATATGTATTTACTCTCACTTGTACACACACCCTCAAAGTGCACAGACCATAGCCAGAGTAACTATATAGGTAAGTGCAAGTACACACACACACATACACTCAGACTTGTACACACATAAAGTACATTGTGTACAAGCACACATAAAGCAGAGGGAGTCCAGAGAGAGGAGATAGGCCTACCTGGGGATGGAGACACATTGGCAAAGGTAATGCTGGAGTCAGTCACTCTGTCCTCAGGCAAAACACACACACATTCACGTGCACACGCACGCACACACGCACACACACACACACACACACACACACACACACACACACACACACACACACACACACACAGTGCTGTAAAGATAAGCACTAATCCTGTTTATTACCTCCTCCCTCTCTGCACTCTCCCTCTCTTTTTCATTTTATCTCTCTCTCATTTTCTCCCTCTCTCTCCTCTTCTCTTATTTTTCCTGTCTCTCCTCCTCAAGCCTATTTCAGCAGCGTGCACAGACACACGCATTTCATGCACACAAACACAAGCGCTCACATTGTCAGTTTACTCCTGTGTTGTTTGTTGGCCGGAGGCTGAGACGAGGAAACAGGGAGGGGAGTGTTGATGTGTGCTGCTCCTTTCCAGCTCCAGCTCTGTTCACGTCCTGCAGAGAGAATTACCTTCCCTTTGTCTGTGTAAAGGGGCTGCTGCCTTTACCATCTGTGCAGCGGATACAGTGGCAGGCGTGTGTGTACGTACGTGTACTTGCGTGTGTGCACATGTGTGTGTTTCTGTACCACTATACTTCCATAATATTCCAGAATAAAGACACAGGATCTGGTGTCTTTACAGGGGGCATTTTGGGGAGTTAAGACTGGGGGTGAAATTTAAGGTTATTGGTGAGGTATTTTTAAGAATAAGAATTAAGAATAAATGTTGTCAATGTAAGGTTCTCACAATTCTAATAATGCAAATATTAATGCTGATGCTAATCATATGTAGTTCGCTCATTTGTCTTGAAATTTGTGTAAATGTAATATTTTAAAGATTTTATCTTGGAAACAGCAGCTGACCAAAAAACCTATAGCTCAAAATCCATTCAGTAGCTCTACTGGAGCTTTTGCTCATATGACGGAGTATGCTCAGTTTATGAAATTCTATGTTAAGTCTTTTGAAATGTAAATTTTTGGATTTTTAAATCTTTTTTATGTTGTTACTTTATCTTTATCTATTTGTTTTCTTTTAAACCTAATATGGTTTATATGTGTAGTGTTTGGATGAGATCAGATATGTATTACAGTGCATTTACAAAGTTTTGAGACCCCTTCACTTTTTTCACATTTTGTTATGTTGCAGCCTTATGCTAAAATCATTTAAATGTATTGTTTTTTGGTCTACATTCAATATGCCATAATGACAAAGTGAAAACTGAATTTTAGACATTTTTACAGATTTATTGAAATGGAAAAACTGAAATATCGCATTGACATAAGCACTTAGAGATTTTACTCAGTACTTAGTTGAAGCACCTTTGCCAGCGATTACAGCCTCGACTCTGTGTGTGACACCACAAGCTTTAATTTGGAGGATTTTCTGCCGTTCTTCTCTGCAGATCCTCTCAGGCTCTGTCGGGTTGGATGGGGACTGTCAGTGAACAGCCATTTTCCAGGTCTCTCCACAGATGTTCGATTGGGTTCAAGTCAGGGCTCTGGCTGAAGGACATTCACAGAGTTGTCCCTGAGCCACTCCTGCGTAATCTTGGCTGTGTGCTTATGGTCATTGTCCTGTTGGAAGGTAAATCTTTGGCCCAGTCTGAGGTCCTGATTGCTCTGGACCAGGGATTTCATTAAGGATCTCTCTGTACTGTGCTCTGCCGAGCTTTGCTTCAACCCTGACCAGTCTCCTTGTTCCAGCTGCTGAAAAACACACCCACAGCACGGTGCTGCCACCAACATGCTTCACCGCTGGGATGGTATTGGGCAGGTGACAAGTAGTGTCTGGTTTCCTCCGGACAAGATGTTTAAAATTGAGGCAAAACAGTTCCATCTTGGTTTCATCAAACCAGAGAATCTTGTTTCTCACAGTCTGTGTGTGCTTTTGCTGTTTGTTTTTTTTAAAACTTTCACTAAGGATAGGCTTTGTCTCGGTGGAGTGCTGCAGTGATGGTTGTCCTTCTGGAAGTTTCTGTCGTCTCCACACATGATCTCTGGAGCTCAGCCAGAGTGACCAGAGTGGTTCTTGGTCTTAGCAAGGCCCTTCTTCCTCGATTACTCATTTTGGCTGGGCAACCAGCTCTCAGAAGAGTCCTGGTTGTTCAGACTTCTTCCTTTTATAAGTCATGGAGGACACTGTCCTCTTGTGAACCTTCAATGGA